TGCAAAGCTGGCTTTTCCTCTGAGTTTCTGTTAAATCAGCCAATTATCTTAAAGTTTCTCTGATAAAGGCTCAGTGCGGTAGCCTAGTGGCTAGTCCTTGCCTTGCAAGCACCAGGATTCCATACGCCTGGGTTTGTATCCTGGCTGCTCTACTTCCCTTCCAGCTCTCTGCTTGTGGCCTGGAAAAGCAGTGGAAGGGGGCCTAGGACCTTGGGACCCTGTACTCATGTGAAAGACCTGGAGGAGGCTCCTGGCTTCTGGTTTCAGATTGCCTCAGCTCTGGTTGTTGTAGCCACTTGGGGAGTGAACCAGTGGATGGAAGATCTTTCTCTCTGTCTCTCTCCTCTCTATAAATCCAACTTTCCAATCAAAACAAATCTTTTAACAAAAGTAGGTAAGAGTCTTTAATTTTATTGAATTATTTTGCCTTTATTACATTTCAGAAAGGCTTTATTTGTGTGTGTGCTACTCATTTAAAAAAGCCTTTTTCAAGCTATTAAAATTTTCTTTTTATATTTACACGTTTTATCCCTCTGCCACTGACTGTGGGCATGGTGTGAGGTAGAGATTTATTTCATCTTCTTCTACATGGTCCAATACTTATTCCTCAGTGAAGTGTTTTCCTGCCAGATCTGGAAAACCATCTCTGCCATATACTATGACCTTCTGCCTGTGTAGATTTACATTCAACTCCATTACTCCACTTGTGTCTCCCCATTATTTTAACTTAAAACCTCATAAAACTTTAGTAAATTCCAACTCATTATTTGTGGATTCCTAGGACAAATACCTGGTCTTCTGTCCCCTTTATAGCTTTTAAGAGAAGAGAAGCGAGGTGGGCTCATTTCACCTCTTCCTGTTGGCAGTTGCATTTTCTGTTTTCTGGGCTGTTTAGGAGTAACTAGAGTCCAGCACTCTTCTTTGAGAGCCAAACACCTCAGAGGTGCAATTAGACTGCTGTGGATGCAATGCAAAGGGTCAGCCAACCTTGACTCCACAGTCCTTTTGGATGTCCAACAAGTTCTAAGGATTCAGAAATGGTAATAAAGGACTTTGGCAAGTTGATGCTCAATCTCACTGCCAAATTCCTTTCCTCTTGCCCAGGAGTTCTACCTGGACAATCTGACAAAGTTGTGAAGATGTTCTGCCAGAGGCCCCAAAGCAGGAGAGGATTAAGTATTGTTAACTGAGCCAGAAGACTAGCCAAGCTGAGCTACCTGTTCACACACCGATAGTCCCAGCTTAAAAGAGAAGGCATAGACGGTGACCCTAAGCGAGTTCCTGGGAATCAGGAGGTGGGCCACTGAGATGCTGTACTGTCCTGCCTATGTCACCGATGGGTTCCTTCAGAGAGGGTTCAGAAAGGAATGGATTATAACGAAGAGTCAATGTGGACATAATTCTTATTTTATTGTTTTGGTTAGTTTATGAAGTAGAGAAAACTACTGTATGCTAAAATAGACTTACACACCAATAAATTTGATAACAGTTGTGAATGTCTTTTTTTTTTCTACCTCGGTAACAATAATTTATATGGAATCTATAGTCTGAATAATTTCCAATACTTCAGTTCCTTTTGATTTGACCCAGAGAAGAAGCATCGATAAGTTTCTAATACTTCCTTGTATGTTTTTATAAGACCAAAGTTAATGAGATGAAACCCAGTACCAAGAACTAAAGGAAAAGGAACTGAAAATACTGGTTTTGTGTAGAGTGTAATAATTAGGGCAGATAATTAGATATTCTGGTTTTCAAATATTTGAATTGTATTAAAGGGAAATTTCGATGAGCTGTTTTCAAAAAAAGATAGTAGTACCTGTTATCTATGCATCCTTTTAATTCCCGCAACATGACACAGTATTTGTAAACCATTAGCTTACTTGCTGAGTACTGCAGCAATCCGCATTGTTAACTGCAGACATAAATATCTATTTTCCCCCAAAGCAGGACATCTACAGTGCTAACTTACACATGTAGTAACTGTATTTTCTAATGCCTTGGCATTGGGGCCTCAGGGATCACAAATCACAGAATGATTCCAGGGTTAGCTAATTCCTAGAGATAGTAAACAACTCCCCAGGGAAAGTGTCTTTCATATGCAAATGAGTCCAGTACAAAGAAAACCCCTCCCAGCCACCTCCTTATTCTGGCTGCACCACACCAAGTCACCAGGCAGAGGCGGCAGGCAACCAGAGCCAGACCGCGCCCAGGGAGATAGGCAGCACCTACTGTCCTAACTCTACTTGCCTTCACTCTTCTAAGGCCGCTGACCCGGTTTCCCTTCCTGCAGCTCCTAACCACCCTGCTTCCTCCGAAGGCCCCTTCCTGGGGACTGAGGGGTAGGAACTTCTTGCGGAATCAGCATTGCTATGCGGGCACACCCTAATATACTCAAGTAAAACAAGTCCAAGGTAAATTTGAAAATAGGGCACAACAAATCTAGCTGTTTTCAGGAAACGTGGAGTTGTTTAGTGAGTAAGCACCAAAATCTAAACTGCTCACCAGTGATGGAGGAATTCCACACTGTAGAATCAGGTTATTATTCTGATCGTTGGTGGGATTATCCGAGGGAAAGATACCTTCAGCCATTTGATCGGTCTCTGCGCGGCCTGAAGATCAGGCTAACATGAATTTTATTTGCTCATTTATGAAGAAACTGTTCTCTTAAGAACAGTAAGTTAACTTCAGAGCTGTGATAATCCTTAAGCCTTATCACATTACGGTTTGTCCTTTTCACAAATGACAAGCTGAACTATTGAACCGAGCATACTGATTCTCTGTATTAGTATTTCAAAGAACAGCTAAGTATTTGGAAGAGTTAATCACAACACAGAGTGCATTACATAAAACTCCCTCACGCAAGCTTATTAAATTAAGCTGTCCAGTGTGTACTCTGAAATGGGATTGAATTGATCTTGACTTCTTCCAAAAGACTAACAAGAAGTAATCACCCAATTTTCTTTCCTTTCATTACAAATAATTAGAATTAATTCTTATTAAAGTAAATCTAGCTTTAGAGAAGACTCGGTGATGCCATCTGTAGTATCACAATAATGAAGTTTTTCTTGGGTAATGTATATACTAACCCAAAGAAGTCATTTATTCCATAAATGTATTAATAATATTCGAGTAACTTAAAGGGCTTTAAGTTGTAATTTTAAAGACAATGGTGCGAGAGAACGGACAGGGCACTGAGTTCCAATCAGAGCGTCTGGGAAGCGTGCTGAGCCTGACATCGCTCTCCCGGCCTGCTACCATGGTTTCCTCAGCTTTCAGCGTCCTCATCTCCAGAGCAGAAGAATGGGAAGACGGCCACACAGCAACCAAGAGGCTGCCTTGAAGTTCTTTGTCAGTTGTTAAAGCCCATGTAAATTTATATCATTCGTCAAAATTCTCTATTTTATGAAGACTTTCAGCTGGTGCTATTTTTTATTATGAAATTTTAATGTTACTCTAAGAAAAGCCAAAATTTTATAAACTTTGGTTAAAATTTCATAACATACTGATAACCAGTTTGGTAAGAAAAAAAATCCACCTCCGATAAAAAACTTTGGCCTTCCCCATAATTTAAAACTCATACCTAGCAGCTTAGTAGCACTTCTTACTTAGTGTGTGCTTTTTAGCTTTCTGTGGATGTTTCGATAAACAGTTTGTGTGTTTGCGCATGCAGTGGCTGACCACGAAGGCCCTAGCTCTGGTCAGCACTGCCCACACTGAGTTCTTCAGGGCACCGGTCTCTGTTGACGCTTGTCAAAACAAAAACCCAACACTCCTGCTTGATACCCCCGCTCTTGGCAGTCATGTCACACTGATGAAAGAACTATGACTTTCTGAGGTTTAGTTACCCAGATGTTCTCCAGTGTGAGTGTGTGTACACAAGGTGCTTCCAGATGCATTGCTCTGTGCACCTGACATGGTCACTTATTTATTCCTCCAACATCCCTGTTGGATAGGGCTGCTATTTTTAAAAAATATTTATTTATTTATTTTACAAAAGATTTATGTATCTGAAAGAGAAAGAGATCCTTCATCTGTTGGTTCATTCCCTAAACAGCACAGCGATGATGGTTAGGCCTGTCTGAAGCCAGCAGTGTCTTCCAGATCTCCTATGTGGATGGCAGGTGCTCAAATGCTTGGACCAATTTCTGCTGCTTTCCCAGGCACATTAGTAGGGAGGTGGCCTAGAAGCAAAGCATCCGGGACTCGAACCGGCATCCATATGGCTTTACCCACTATGCCACCAACACTGGTCCCAGATGGAGATGATTATTCTCACATTACAGACAAAGGTGCAGACACACACAGAGATATAAAGCACCTAGCTCAAGATCATTAAGTTGTGTGGCACAGACTGGATGCAGGACCAGAAAACTTGGTAGTGTATTTCATGTATGAATCTCAGAAACATAATAGTGACAGAGAAAGCTGCAACAAATATAGGGTATGTCATCTCTGTTTCGAAGTTTAGAAAGAAAACTAGATGCTTTGCTATTTGAGGAGACAAAGAAATGGGATAAAACTGTAAGGATATCAGACAGGGGAAATACTTTAAAACAAATTGGTCTGGGGTACCAGGACATGGACAATGGGCAGGGATCCAAAAAGGGCCTCTGGAAACCTCACAGGTTCTGTGCTGTTCTTTCCTCGAGAGACAGAGGTTCCCTAGTGTTTATTTTATTGCTGTGGCCTAAAGCTTCCTTATATGTCACTATTTAGATTGTATGTATCAAATACTTCATAATACAAAATTTTAACAATATGAATCAATAAGCCACCCAAACTTCTTGACTTTTCTCTGGTTTTATGACAGATGCACGGCAGACGCTTGGCAATGAGTAGGCTCACTTCCTCCCTTGCTCTGACCATGGGTCTTTAGAACCCTCTCCAGGTAATCATAACTGATCACAAGCAGGTGACTGGGGCTGCTCCATCAGTTCAGCTAAAGGCAGCAACCAGGAAACTCAGGGTCTTCCAGCTGTTGGTGCTGGTCAACCAGTTACCTGTTAAGTTGGAAGCATCAGTGGGACTCAGCTGTAACCAATGGCGGGCATCAGGGTCAGCCACAACATCTGTGGGAGTGTTTAATTCTGGGTCTTCCTCACAGGTCTGCCATGGGCTCCCAGAGAGCTCCACCTCGCTGTCACAGCCCAGAACTATGTCACTGCTGACACTTTCACCTGGTACAACAGAAGAACACAATGTGAGGTGACAAATAGTTGAAAATCAGAGTGCTCACAATCTACAAGTAGCTACATGCTTCCGCAGGTGGTGAGGCAGGGACCACTGAGGGAGCAGGACTGAACCTGCAGAAGCTGACTGGAGCTGAAGGGTTCCAGTGCCAGGCTGCTGGTCAAGAAAACACATCTTTCCAGCACAGGGTATTTGCTGTCATCACCAGCTTCGCTACACATATGTCTGACTCAGTTTAGGGTGTCTTTGCTTAGTTATCCAAAACACCTGAAATATTATACTAAATCATAAAGTTTTCTCTTGGGAGTTACCTACAAATTAGTATGAGTGGAACAAAACAGGGGTAACTGATTCTATCTCAAATTTAAGGGTTTTTCACCTGGTGAGAACAGCCTCAAGATGCTGTCAGCTTCAGTCTGATGTTCAGAATTAAACCTATGGCGAATCTTCCAAGGCCACTTGGGGAGGAGGTATCCCACTACAATGGATTTTTTACAATAGAAATTCTTTCAAACACTATAAAGTACAAATTTGTCATAATTTATGCTGTGCCACTGAGACTCAAAGTGCTGCTTATTTCATCTGACACAAAACAAATCTTAACAGTTGGCTCCTTCAAGTTTTCTCTTTCGTAAGTGTTGTTTTCCTACCCTTACAGTCTGTCCATCTGGCTGCTCTTTGTGTCTGCTCCTAACAGTGCCCCAATCTCACTGTTTCCAATCTGCTGTCCTCTACTCACCTGCAAAGAACTGGAAGTATGTTACACTAGCCAGGTGACCAATCTGTTGGGTCCCAAACCTCATCTTCCAATGGAGTCTAGGCCAACAATGTGAAGGTGGAACACGAGAAGAGGATTTACAGCTCTTTACTCTGCTACTCTGAGGAGTAAACAGTCTGGCATGTCCCTTCAGGAAACAATGTGAGAGGCCATAACTCACAGCACATGGCCATGTGTCACAGAGTCCCAGTATTTTCACTTTACAATACTCCTCTCATTCACTTCAATGTACCTTGGAAGATTTCTGCTCCTCACCCATGGGATCTTCTTGGAGAAGGTAATTTTTCCTACTGGGATCTCTCTAACCTGGAAAATGGGTTGGGTAGAAAGTGCTCTCAGGAAAAGCTGACTAACTCGAACTGTTCCCTGAATGTGTAGATTAACCTTGACAATGCAAGAATAAAAATGTCCCGTTTTACAGTCAGGCCTCTTCAATGTTAAGGTATCACTCCAATTAGGAAATAGAAGAAAACAAGCCATAACATTCCATGGTTGGGGGAGCACAGACTGCCCTTCCCAGGACTTACTTTTTTGTCTTTCCTTACATTGTCCTTGAGTCTGTTGCAAATCAGTTTTCAAATCCAATTCAGCAGGGCTGCTGCTCCTTCGAATTAAGATCTTCAGACAAAAAGAAATAGTGAATTTACTGCAGGGAAGTTATAATTTTTACAAGACTGTTACATTTCTAGTCTACATTTGTAAAGAAAAGGAAACAAACAATAATACTAGCAACAACAACAAAAAAAAAACAGAGTGACTTTTTCCATGTGAAGGATATGTGTTCACAAATTACTATAATTGAATCACATATTACTCAAGAACTAAAACTACAGTTTACATCCTCTGCTTTGTCAAGTAACATCCAAATACACTGATTAAGAAAAGATGCCAAATTATATGGAAATTATTTCTTTTAAAATTATATTCATTCCCTTGATCAAACACATATATATAAGGGTAGTCCAAAAAGTTTACAGAAAACATAGACCATGAAAAGATGATGCTTTTTTCTTTTCACAAAATCTCCGATATTAAAATAGAGTAAAATAACAAGAAGCAAGCTGTATCCTCTAAAAATCTGCAATTTGCTTGGCAACACAAAACACACACAGATTATGAAAATAATAACATACATAAGCAAATTATGCGATACACTCTCTCTGAAAGATAGGCAAAATAAAGTGTTACCTTAATTGGCTGACAGTAACAGGAGAGCTGTTCAAGAAGGCAATAGACAGGAAGTGGTAGAGGGAAGGCGGGAAGGGACTCAAGGCTGGAAGCGCGGAGTACTGATCAGCAAGTTCTATGTGCAGGAAAAGAAGCTGATTATAGCAGGCCATGCAGGGCAGCCAGGGCAGAGGCATTCTAAAAGAGGCAGATGCCAGCAGGCCTTCAATCCAATAGTGACAAAAGGAACATCTATATGGTCTAGTGAATAGTTTATTGTGACTAAAAATCTAATTAAAATGTAAGTCAAGTAGTTTCTCTGTAGATACAGTGAAAAAGAAAATCACTAAGGAACTGTTACAGCAATTCAGAAAACAAGGAGATGAGGCTTTTGATGATGGAAAAGGAGGAGCAACGATAATAAAGACAAATGCTGCAGAGTGACATGCTAGAGTTCATGATTAGCTCTACACTTAAGTAGAAGAAAATTAAACCACAAAAGGGTATAAATCTAGGGGGATGCAGGATGATGTGATAGAGGGAGAAAGAATGGAGGAGAAGGAAAAACAAACTGCAGAACATTTCTGTTTGATTTTTTCCTTTGGGTTAAAAATGTCCTAAAAATGTGCAACAGAAATTCAAGAATGGTGAAAAAGAGAAAAAAGCCAGAAATGAAGATGTAAACGCGTTGTCCTCTGCTGCACAGTAAATAAAAAGCTCTTAAGACATATATAACAAGCCAACTGAAAGATGTGAATTCTTAAATGAGCAAACAACTGGGATGCACATGCAGCCTTCAAAAAGCCCATGAGAAATGTGCACTATGAAGAATGGGTTTCAATGTATTTACATTAAAATAAACATTTTAATTTTATTTTTCCATGAACTTTTAAAACATACCTCCATACAATTAAAAGACAAAAGATTATGGGACAGCATTGAGGAGTAGTGGGTGAAAAAGTCACTTCCTGCAATGCCAGCATGACATAAAGAAACCAGTTAGAGTTCTGGCTACTCCACTTATGATCCAACTATCTGCTAATGTACCTGGGAAAGCAGCAGAAAATGATGCAAGTGCTTGGGCCTCTATCACTCATTGGGAGGTCTGGATGAAGCGCCCAGCTTTGCCTGGCCCAACCGTGGCCATCGTGGCCACTTGGACAGTGAACTTGCCAATGAAAGAATTCTCTCTCTCTTGCTCTCATTTTCATTTTAAAATAAAGACTAGACAAGGCAAACAAAAGCTAGGATAAGAAGACAGGCCTAAAAAGACATAATGACTACTAAGCTAAAAAAAAAAAATAGGCTATTAATAAAATAAATAGGCTGTGACTGCAGACATTAAAGTTTTCTGCACTTTAAGATTAGCCAGCCAGGAACTAAAATCAAATACTACTACTAAAGATCAAAGGAAATAAACATTTGTGTGAGAATCACAAAGCTAACAAAAATATTTATAACCCTCAAAGATACTAATCATATGAAATTTTAGAAATGTAATTTTTCAACATTTTAAAGGAACAGAACTGAGAATCACAAAAAAGAGAAAGCAACAAGAAATTATTAGAAAATCCAAACATGCTGGGAAAGAAATTGTTTCAGAAACAAAAACCAAACTTTCTTCAGTAAACATATCAATGGAAGTTCTGAACAGCGCAGTGAGATATTTTGAACTGAGGAAATGCTGTTGATACAATTTATCCAGAACACACCTAGAGGACCAAAAAGAGAATGAAAAATAAACACGGAGCTTAAGAAACATGGAAAAGAGAATGAGAAGGTTAACATCCTTATCCAGAATACTAAGGAAAACAAAGGGTAAAAACATTTAATTTCTGAAGAAATGATTACCAAGAATTTTTAGAAAGACAAGCATCCAGATATGCATTGTATAAATCTTACACCAGAAGATCAAACATATAAATAAAAAAATTTGTCTTTAAACATACTGTAAGAAAACTAGAGGTCAAAGACAGAAAAGAAGAAACAACAACAGCTAGAAGGGTGAACAAATGACTTCTCAACAGCTACAATGGAAGACAAAAGGCAGTGGAAAATCAGTTTCCATTAGAAAGAGAAGAAAGAAAAGTGACAGACTGCAGTATTTGAGTTGTAACAGTATTATCCAGAAAGATAAAGTAACCAATCCAGGCAAGACAAAAAGCAACGCCTTACACATCCAGGAAATAGCATATGCGAGAGACAGCTGGCATTTTGGATCTATAAAGAATGATTTTTTCTGGGATTTGGTATAGCTTGCTTTCTGAGGCGGGGAGGAGGGAGATGGAATTAGATCCTTACAACACTCCACAACCAAGAACTAATTTCTAAAGTCTTCAGATGGAAGACTTAATCATGTAGAGCAAAAGTGTAACATTTATAGACTAGGTATAAGGTAATATTTTTATCCATGTGTAGCTGAGATTTCTGACGAATGTCATAAAACCCTAACCAAAGAACTCAAATGAAAAGATTTGTGTTCATCAAAAAACACCATAAAAAGTGAAAAATATAAGCCAAGGAATGGAAGATATTTGCTATAAACATACCAATACAGGATTAGTATTCATATTATACAAAGAATAAAATAAGAGAAAGAGACAGACAAGTCCATAATGAAATAGCACAAAACATCGGTAGGAATTTCACAGAACAAACATAAAGGGTCAATAACCATATGGAAATATTTAAAACCTTTCATCTAAGAAATGCAAGATAAGAAATCCTTTCACTCTTTGACTCAGAAAAATTCATAATATCTAACAATACAAAGTGCTCACTACAATGTGAATAAATGGGAACTCTATACAATCTTGGCAGGAATAAAAGTTGTATAGCCACTCTGGAAAGTAGGCATTGACTTCAGGTTCAGTTTTCATCATAACAAAACTCTGCAGATATTCATAAGTGTCCATCAGCAAGAGAATGGTAAATTCACAACAGAATATTCTACGTCAGAGAAATCATAGTGAACCTCTGCTACATGCCACAGTGTAAATAAATCTTAGAGATCCGTAAGTTACACACTCAGCAAAACTGTACAGAGCAAAGCAAGGCAATAAACAAAGCTGAGATAGCCCCATTCTCTAAGGAGAGGCAGGTTTGTGGTCATTTATTTGGTTGTTGAAAATAGAACATATATACGCTGAACATATTCTGGTATATGCCTTTTAAAAAAGAAACAGGAACTTAACATCTGGTTATCTTCCAGACAAGGAGTAGGGAGAAGCTATTGCTTGTACCTTTCTGTGATGTTGGAGTTTTCCATTAGTATATACTCTATTAAAAAATAATAATAATAGGGATTGCCATTTGTTACAGTAGTTAACATGCTGCCTGAGCTCCCTATACCATTTCAGACGAGATTGGGCGCGTTCAGGGTGGTATGGCTGTAGACCCTATATCCATTTCAGAGATCCTGGGTTGGAGCCCCAGCTCCACTCTGGATTCCAGCATCCTCCGAATCAGACTCTAAGAGGCAGCAAGCAATGGCCCCAGTTCTTGCACTCTCTGCCATCTGGGGGGCGGGGGGGAGGGTTGGTCTAGATTGAGTTCTAGGCTGCCGACTTCATCCTAACTTAACCCTGGCTGCTGTGTGAATCTAGAGATGACTTCATATATGCCCCTTTCTGTATTTCAAACTAAAATATAAACATGTTTTTAAGAAATGAATAAATACAGGTTGTCTGTATGAATGAGTTATGGGGTATGCTTGAATTTTCTTCTTTATACGCAGTATGTTTATCTTTAATGACAGTAAGGAGCCAGGCGTTGTGGCCAAGGATTAAGCTGCCAACCACAGCGCTGGCATCCCACATGAGTGCTGGTTACAGTCCTAGCTGTTCTACTTCTGATCCAGCTCACTGCTAATGCATCTGGGAAGGCAGCAGAGAGAGGCTCAAGTACCTGTGCCCCTGCATCCACGTGGCAGAGCAGATGAAGCACCTGACTCTTGAATTTAACATGACTCATCCCCAGCTACTGTCAGTGTGAGGAACGAACAACACATGCAAGAATCTCTCTGTAACTCTCTTTGAAAGAATAAATGAATCAATCTTGAAAAACAAAAGTTTAAAAAGCTCTTAAAAAACAATAAACACTATTTTGCCCTTGAAAAGAAACCGTAACAGATCAATGTGAATGACTGTGAATACTCACTCGCTCAGCAACTCACATCAGCAGAGAATGCTATTTAAACTGATGTCAGAAACGTGGAATCTGAATCAACATCACTTAAAAACACACACTGCCACACGGAAACCAGGTAGTACTTCTGTTTTCGTGTTAGTTTTTTTTTTCATTATTTTTGCCATGTGACTGGATTTTTACATAGAAATCAAATTAAACTTTGAAAGATGTCAAGGGTCTGTATACTCTATCTAAATGAGGAAAATACTAATTTTTTAAAAAGGCACCATTGGTGTCAATAAATTTATTCATTGTATAATAACTGCTTATTTTTAAAGATAAACTGATTGGAAAATATCTTACTGTTATCCCTTCATGTTCTTTCTTCACATGTCCTCTGCTTTCTTGAATAGGCTTGAGCTCTGAAGAACACAAATTCTGTATATTTTCTATTTTTTGTCCTAGAGTTTTGAGGAAGGGTTAGAAAATAACAGAAAATGTTTTAGATAGTAAAATTAGAACATGATTTTATATATAAGTAATTATTGAGCATATATAATCAGACACATAAAAACAGGAGCAGAGGGTCTGTCAAACCAGTACATATGTAAGACCTGACCTCTGGCCCCAGCAGGCTGTGAAGAGGGTGGACGGAACGTCATCCAGTGGCCAGCAGGTCCACTCAGCACAAGGCAAGGCACTAACGCCCTCCCTGTGGGGGTTTGGCAGATATCTCAGCTGTCCCCCCGGGTTGGCCAGATGAACCAACAGGAAGAGAGTAGAATGGCAGTTCAGCACTGCTGGAGAATAAAGACCCACAGAGAAAGCACCAATGCCCACTTTCAGTAGACTGCAGCCAACAGAATAAGAGCAATATATAAATAATCTATCTTTTATTTCTTAATTGACTTATGTAATTAAAACAGAGTATGTTTCCTGATACCAGATACAATTCAAGACATCAGACATCCTTCAAACAGGTCCTCTCCTGTAAAATAATGTTCACTGTCTGCAGATCAAACCACCGGCTTCTTTGCTTTCCACTGCGTGTTGCTGAAAGTTGATGAAGAAACCTCACAGGCTTCTATTGTTAAAATATCTTATTTCCATCTGCAGCTGGTATCTTAGGCTAGCTAGTAACCTTTCCCACAGGTCTGCTCAGTTTCCACTCTCCTTTTACCTGTCTGCGTCTCTACAGCCCTCCACCGCTCCTTCCCTGCATCCTCCTCATCCCCGCCCATCTTCTGCCTAACCTGTTGCCCTTCCTCACCTTGGTTTACAACAGTCTCAGCCGCCCTCTCACTACAGAAATTCTGGACTTATTTCTAGTCATCAGTTAAGCCTGGCTGAAAAAAGTGGACACACACAAAACGTATGCATAATTTAAACTGTTAGGGCATGGCTTTATAGGACAGTGAGTTTAATCACTGCTTCCAGTTCACACATTTCATGTTGGAGTGCAGGTTTAAGTTTCCATTAACCTGCTTCCAATCCAGTTTCCTGTTAGGACACCTGGGAAGACAGCATAAGAAGGCGCAGGGACTTGGGCCCCAGAAACACATCAGGGAATTCCGCATGGAGCTCCTTGTTCCTGGCTTTGATCTGGCCAAGCCCTGATTTTTGTAGCAATTTGAGGAGTGAACTATCACATAAATGATGTCTCTCTCTCTCTCTCTCTCTCTGCCTTCTAAATAAATAAATAAATAAATAAATATTTTTAAAAATACATATTAAGTAGCAAAACATTTTATTGCCAGAAATTATACTTTGCATCCAACGTATACCCTCAAGAAGTATGTATAATATATGTAGAAGGCAGTAGTGTTTTTTCCCATTAGCCAGAGTGCACAGTTGTCTAGCAGTAACCCTGAAGAAGATAGCACATACCCTGAGGAGAATCTGAGCTCTGTGGCTCGGTGATATCCGAAGTACTGCTGCTCCGAAGCACCTGCGGCTGTCCCACCACGAGCTGACTAGACCCAGCGGCAGGTGCACTTTCCGACTGCTGACACTCTTCCACCTCTGTAAGTATCAACACAAAGCACAGAGTCGCAGTTCAAGATCTGAAAAAGTACTACCACCATCTGAAACAACTGATTTTAAAAATGAAGCTTTCTGCTTTTCCCTTTTTCCACATTTTACATTAACATCATCAAGGTTCCTATATTTGTCACTACTAATGCTCCACCTCAAGAATATGCTTCCCTCCTTAGTTCTATGGTCTTTTAGTCTTCCACTAAAGTAAAGGGATAAAAAGGAAAACACACAAATGGCTGAGACCTTCAAAGGTCATTTGGAACTTTGAGGGCATACATGCCAAGGGAAGAGGCGTTCAGACAACAGATAAATGCACAACTTGTCCCAAATAAAATGCTGTAATTATTTAACAGTGTATGTCACCAAATGCAAAGTGGAATTAATCACTGGAATACAAAAATGATCCACTGATATTTCTGGAGACTCAATACACATCTGACATTAAACAGAAAGCCACAGAGGAGTGTGACCACTGGTTAATCTCAGCTAATATGACAACAAGCTATTCCCCATGCAGCATGAGCTCTGTCCTGGCTCATTTCTAAACCCCACCATTCATGCCAGTCTCTCTGATCTCCCAAGGCAACAGGATAACTGTAACATCCTCTCCAGAGACACAGCTGTGGGGGCACTTCATCTTTCACCTGGGTTACTTTAGTAGTCTGCTAACTCATTACTGTTTCTTCTTGGCACTCCTTCTCCTCATAGTGCTCAGAAAGGTCTCTCTAAAAGCTCTCCACTCTTCTGAAGGTCACAGGAGACCTTCCAGCATCAGAAGGTTCCTGAAGGCGAATACTGGGCTATCCTGGGTCTCAGCCTACACACAGATCTAACGTGAAGAGCTCTGCTCATGGTGGCCTCAAGCATAGCTAACACTTGGCACCTACTTTCCTCTCTTCACTCCTCTTTGCTAACCTCCCTCCTCTTTCTCTGCTCCACCATCTCTGCTTCCCATGTTGCCCTGGGCACATCCCCCTACAGGACTTTTCAGGTGGTCCTGCATGTCAACCCCATGGCTGCATTCCTCATTAGAGACTATGATCATGGACCATAATAAAACTTAACATCCACATAAACTTCACATCATATTTTTTGGATGATTTTGATTAGCTGAAGTTTCACTACTAAAAAAGCCTGATTAAAATTGCAACATGTTAATACAGTTCCTCACCTGAACTGGAGACTGTCAATAGGACACCCCCAAATAATGCTTTGATCTGAACCATATAAAGTCAAAATGATGGCCTACTCTAACTAAGATGTTGTATGGAGGAAAATTCCAAATTCAATACATAGGAGGAGATTCCAACAAAAAATTATGTCTTTATTTTTTGTAACCAAATGAAATTTTCATTTTATGGCACATTGTCACACTTTCCAGACTGCAAATCTATGACATCTACATTGTCTTTTATGTACAACCCAATGTATTAGGCTGGATGCTGATGGTAAACCGAGCCTAGAGCACAAGCAAAGATAGTACAAGGCAGCACAAACAGAACTGAAGCCTTGTCTTCCTCAGCTGTCTTGGCCTGCCTCTTCTCCTGAATAGGTGAGAACTGTTCATCTCCTCACCGAGAAGCATAAGGCACATGTACAGACTTTTTCTCTATCTTCACAACCTAAAAGCATAGAGGAGACTCCGCAAAGGGCTCCTTCTAGGGTCTTCAGCACTGGGCAACAGAAGCCAGGCAACACCATGGGGCCAGGCCTTCCAGCCGTTCTCTTTAGTTGTTTATTACAATTAAGCAAGACGGTGAAGCCTTCTGGTAAGTTTATTAATGAACCAACTTGTTCATTTAATATCAATAGAGGGAGCCCAAGAGCTTCCCAGCTTCCTAAAAAATTGGCAAGTGACTATTTTTTATAGATGGTGGAAGAGTGGGTTTTATTGTCTTAAGCCTGATGCCAAAATTGGTAGAGGTTGGTTTCTGGGCTATAAGCAGAAGCAAATAATAACAGAGCCAATACTGGCAGAACCTTTCCAAAGTTAAAGTATGTCGCCATCTGCTGAGATGCAGTACCGCCACAGCACTGCCACTTCCAAATGTGAGTGTCCCCACTGGTCCTCAACACAGCAGATGGACCAAAAGCCCACCACCACCAGCTGGCCTGACTTCCCAGCAGGCTGGCCTCATGCAGCTCTTAGAGCTCTGTTTCTGTGAAACTGTCAGGATGGATTTCTCAGATGGAAAAAGCTCAGGACTCCAGAAAGCATGGCAGTGCAGGGATGGAAACACTGGTGCCTGGAGTGGAGTGGGAAGGCAAGGGAGAGCCACAACGCCAAGAGAGTTGCTATGCTGGAGGGGCTCAAGCTACTCCCAGAGCTATCAAAGCGGACCTGGTGAAAAACATGGTTTCCAACTGGACTTATCCCTCAAGCTAAACCCACTTTCCTCACTGACACATATACGTTTCTGGGCCCTTTCTCCTTCTTTACACTAAGCGCATAAACTCAAAATGTGTTCTGTATACTGGTCAAATGAATCATGAAGACATTTTCTCAATATCTTCTCCCTTTTTGAACAGTTCTTGGGCTCCCTCTGCTGGTATTTTATTTCTTAAGAAAGCAGTTTATGCTGAAGCTACATCCAAGTTGTGACATGAAAATCACTGTAACATTAATATGTAACACTAAATACCAGGAGAGAGGATGACCCGGTATTCAAAACAGAAAAAGAACAACCTAAACCACATAATTTACATTTTAAATCCTGAGAGATGTAACACATCCTGCTGAGATGTTACACATTCTGTTTGAATGCATTTCAGATTCTGCAGATCATTTACTCTTTCTAATCAAATAATCGAATATCTCTTTTAATCCTAACAACCAAAATGATCAAAGCAGTAACTTGATCATCTCTTGATAGTATAAATTACACAGTATCATTACAAAACCATTGCTTTCTAAAACACCATTCCATTAAAAAACCAAAAAGATCAAATAGATCGTTTTTTTCCTGAGTCAATATGATTACATTACATTAAATGTAGAAGCTCTTCAGTAACATGTCTTTCTCTAGAAATCTGACTACTACTTTTTAAAGCAATTTCACTTGGTCTTTTAGCTAAGGCTTTCTTAATCACTTTTACTAAATGGAGTAAGGCTGACTCTTTAATAAATAAAATTTTGGGTTTCATTTGCTTCTCAGGTTGCATAACGAGAAGTTAATAGTGCAACTTCCTATTCTTTGAAACACTGTGCATAGTACTAACTTGAGGCACAGGTGAAGTCACTGGAAGGCTTTTGGCAAGATCAAGTTCTCTGAAGGACCTGACGACTAGCACTTCCTGGAAACCCACGAACAAGTCACAGAGGCACCTACGCGAGGTTTCCCCACTGGGTCCTGCAAGTCTCCACAGCATTGTGGAAGATGGCTGATATGCTAACCATCACAATTATGGTATTAAAAAAAAAAAAACGTAAAATCTGCCATCTGATGGGCCCAGTGTGATGGCACAGTGGTTAAGGTCCTTGCCTTGCACACCTGGGATCCCATATGGGCACCAGTTCTAATCCCGGCAGCCCCGCTTCCCTTCCAGCTCCCTGCCTGTGGCCCGGAAAGCAGTCGAGGACGGCCCAAAGCTTTGGGAACCTGCACCTGCGTGGGAGACCCGGAAAAGGCTCCTGGCTTTGGATCGGCAAAGCATCGGCTGTTGCGCTCACTTGGGGAGTGAATCATCGGACGGAAGATCTTCCTCTCTGTCTCTCCTCTCTGTATATACACCTTTCCAATAAAAAAAATAAATAAATAAAACAAAAAAGAAAAAGAAAAAGAAAAAAAAGAAAAAAATCTGCCATCTGATACATGACTATGCAACATAAAAGGTGGAGAAAATGGCAAAGTAGCTGGAAGGCTACTGTTCTCTCACCTAGAACGACAGGGAAATCAGCTCAGCTGCCCAATCTCTCTCCAACATGTTTCTTACTGTGGCTATCCACACTAATACAAAAAAGTGGTTATGACTCTCCCAAAAAACCTCCACAGATTCTGTTCCAAATAAAGTATCCCCAAAGGATCCAAATTAGATACACTGCGTGCTGCAAGGAAGGACTTCTCTGTTGCTTTTCCTTTAAAAACAACTTTGGTGGATTAACTAATCATACAAATCAGAAACAAAACCAAGAAATGTTAACTTGAATTTGGAAACAAAATTAGCGATCACTGATACAGTAAAGAATCTATGGTCAGAAAGCAAAATTAAAAGCATCTTCATGTTATCCAGGAGTGGGTAAATTGGAATACAAATTCTACCCTGTAATATGCAAAGCATGGAGAATGTACACCCTAACACTCAGGATTACCAAGCATTGTCTTGCCCAATGATCTTGGCAGAACCAGACAATCGAAATTATCTTGAGGCCTGACTCATAAAAGGTATGGGACCTAGAAGGAGCTCCAGAAACATGAAGCAGGACACTGTTCTAAAATGACTGTGCCTGCCTGTGCTTTCACCCTTGGCACTGTGAGACCAGCAACAAGGATGGTAAAGAGAGCAACGTGCAGCCCCAGCCTGACCCGCCTGACTAACCCAAAGGCAGGCCTTTTCAGCCTTGGTGCTCTTGCCACTTTGAACCAGTTAACTCTTTGCTGTGGCAGCCTGATCTTTGTAGAAGTTTACCTGCATCCCTGGCATCCACCTGTCCCATCCTGACAGCCAACTATGTCTCCAGACATCACCCAAATCACCCTTCGTGGTGAACCACTGTTCTAAGAAAGTTAAGTGCTATTCCAACTGTGTATGCATATGCGGGAACCAATTTAACAGTGAAGGAGAACAAAGCATCCAAAATTAAAGTACTAATAGGAAGAGGTTTCTTGTGAGAACATATTCCGGAAAAACTAGTAAAAAACCTTAAGTGAAACAATATGGAAAAAAATGGACTGTGAAATAAAGTATTTCACTATGGGGAAAAAAATTCCTTTTGAGTGTAAATCAGTCACACAGGGGGCAAACATTTGAAATTCTTTATTATAATCACTTGTAAACAACAGCCTTCTTTGAAAGCCAAATAATCAAAAAGCTGATACTGGTCATTATTCTCACAGGAAACCCTTTCCCATAATGGTTTTGATGTTTCCCACCCACTATTGACCAGAGACAAAGGATTTCCTAAGTAACATCATAGTCCTGAATCCCAGTAAAACTAACTTCTTCCCTTATATTCTGTAAATTAAATGAAACAGCATTTTATATACTCTTCAAAGGATTTATTTTTTTTTTGCCAAACCACATTGTAACATAATTTAGTGCTACAGAGAGCCACAATTAGGCTATCTCCAATATTAAAAACATATTAACTTATAATGCCAGATTTCTGAAAATAAAAACACAAGAACATCTTAGAATCACTGAACAGTAACTAGACACAGAAGTCATTATTCAATGAAGAGCAAAGTAAATCCTTGTATAAAGGTGGAGTCAAAGGTTGCTTTGATGCTGTAACTTCCTAACACATCAAAAGGTGCACCGTGTAAATAAACTATACATGGCTAACTCCAATTTTAATCACCCAAGTCCAAAAGCAGTATTTCTGTATATTTTCAAATTATTCTTGCTTGGTTGAACTATCACTGATTGATATAAAATGATCGTCACTTATTAACTCCAAATAAATCTTGCGTATATATTTTTTCTAGCTTATTCATTTTCTAGAAGGTACAGCAATATTCTAACAGTAACATGCTAAAAACATCTAGAAACTTCTAAGAAAATTCCCTTCCTTTCTATAGGCATTCTATGAATACAAGACCCACTAAGAAAGGTGTAACATTTTCCCCCCTATTAAAAACTAGGGACTGAAAAAAAAAATCTTCCTATCCTCTTTAACTGTAAATATAAAGATCCATAGGGTTGTAGACATCTTCTTGACCATCACGTTGCCACTAAATATCTAATGACTTAAAACAAGAATTAATATATACCAGAATTGAAAGCAAGTGCCACTGTCAGGCACCAAGTGATATGGGTATTAGCCAATGAAGCAAGGGGCAGAGGCAAGTGGGAGGAGCCCAGAGACATGGATGGACACATGAGACAGGGTTACAGTACCTGAGAGCCTGTGAGAACAAGAGGAGTAAGAGAGAGCAGGGAAGAGCACGCTCACGGTGTGGAGGAGGAGTGGGACGCTCCTAGTGGCAGGCAAGGGCTCAGAGAGGTGCACACAGTTGCTGATAGACTGGCTGCGCTTCGCTTCCAGGAGAGACAAAGTGATAAGTATGTCAGAAGACCTTTCTCTGGGTTCCTTTTATTAAACACTTAAAGTAGGTCATTTTAAACTTTCAAGGAAGTCACTCGCTGTATTTAATCATACCCTCCAAATATGGCCAACTTTTAGCTATGCCTTCTGATGTCTTAGGAGAGAGGGTAATTCACAAAGAATTTACTTTTCAAATATTTTATGTTTAGGTTTTCCTTTTTCCTGCTGTGTATCAGACTCACATTTGGGTTGGTGAATTGGTATACTTTATCATCAGATTTCCCTTCCAAAAGGACATACACACAGAAAAACTCATGATGAGAGAGGGGGAAATCTGGCCTTCCACTGACCTTCTTTTATAAATAATAAGTAGCTCAGAAATGGATTTACAGAGAGATGATCTTATTCAAAACAAATCATTTAGTGAATTAAATATCCCAGAAGCTCAAGAACACATGAAAGTCAAGTGGAGCATTAAAACATTTAACATTTGAAAATGTAAAAATCTCCATGAAACCCACCCTTTCATACCACATTTCATACTCACTAAACTCACACTTTCTTAGTGTCAGCTTGATGGTGTCTGTAAGTTTTCCAAACATTGTTAATCAAATGAACAGACACGGCAACATGTCTCATATGTATAAAAGTTGTGTCCTTAGCAAAAAATGTAAAAATGTACTTGCTAGGGCCCAGTGCGGTGGCGCAAGTGGTTAAAGGTCCTCGCCTTGCACGCCCGGGATCCCATATGAGCGCCGGTTCTAATCCCGGCAGCCCCGCTTCCCTTCCAGCTCCCTGCCTGTGGCCTGGGAAAGCAGTCGAGGACGGCCCAAAGCTTTGGGAACCTGCACCCGCGTGGGAGACCCGGAACAGGCTCCTGGCTTTGGATCGGCATAGTATTGGCCCGTTGCGCTCACTTGGGGAGTGAATCATCGGATGGAAGATCTTCCTCTCTGTCTCTCCTCTCTGTATATCCACCTTTCCAATGAAAAAATAATAAAAATAAATCTTTAAAAAAATGTACTTGCTATTATTTTTATGTAAATAAAACAGAAATAAAAATGTAGTTACATATTTGCCAAAAATGAAATGATTTTTAAAAAGTTTATTGTCTTTTCTCCTATCCTTTGCCTACCTACCAGTATTCCCAAAGAGCAGTCTACCTGCAATGTGATTCAGTACATGTAATTCATACATATGTAAGCTACAGGTAAAGAAAAACACAACTTCATGAAAATGTCAAACTAACTCACATTGAATTTTCTGAAAGATCTATTAATCTTTCACCATGTCAGGAAACTTTTGAGTGCTGTTTTAAAAAGTTACTCTTCTAGAAATCAATTGATGTACATGTTTTCCACAGTGATCACTTGTTAGAAACAATGAAGTGTGTAATGTTTGTGTGGACACTAAGTCAGCCTTGCTCTGATCACTCACTCACTGTAGACACAGGCTCTTGCCACCATTCACACTCAGGGACACAGCTCTCCTCTAGAGCTCTTGGTCCTCTCCTTGCCAGGCGTTTACATTACATGCTGATGTACTCTCGTTAAATTGTCACTTCTCTACCATGCAGCTGTTGATTTTGTATTTCTCTAGTGACACTGCTGGTAGTATTTTCTCTATCTAAGTGAAATCTGGAAGTAAAATCATCACCTGATCTCCTTTTTTCATACTGAGACTGGGGGTTGGCAGGTCAAGCTACTGTTGAATGGGTCTCCCATAAGAAGCATCTTACTCTATAGGCTGTAAAAACTGAGTTTACGTTTTGTTATAACATGGTGGCTTCTACACAAATCAGACTTTATCACAAAAATATTCTGGGCCTTTTAAAAGAAGAAAAGGTAAGTTATTTCCCAACATAAATGTAATAGAACTAAGGGCAGGTATGGTGTGACCAAGCTAACCTCCTGACTGTGGTGCTGGCAAAAGCGCCAGTTTACATCCTAGCTGCTCTATTTAAGATCTAGTCCCCTGCTAACGGTCCCAGAAAGCAGCAGAGGATGGCTCAAGTCCTTGAGCTCCTGTACCCACATGGGAGATCCAGAAGAAGCTCCTGGCTCCCAGCTTCAGACTGGCCCAGCTCTGGCTGCTACAGCCATTTGGAGGGGTGAATTAGTGCATGGAAGATCTTTCTCTCTCCCCACTTGTAATTGTGACTTCCAAGCAAAATAAATTAACCTCAAAACAAAACAAAAAAACAGAACAGAACCAAGTAAAACCACTAATATTTAGACTTTACAGGATTATTAAACTCTATGATACAATTTTCAGAGCCCATAGCTTTTGAGATTCATAATATTTCATTTTCTTTAAAAATATAAAATACATTATATAGTCACATATAATATAAACTAAATATAAAACATACAAAGACAGAACTGTCCAACAAATTAGCTCTCAACTTCATTATCTTTCAAAGTTCTCAAAATTTAAAAGAAATTCATTAATCTTGCAAAGGCCAGGCTTAGGGCTTTAAATACATGTTCTACAAACATATCACAGGTTTTCCCGTAACACAGCTTCTCAGACAACAGACAGCTCTTACAACAAAACTTCATGGGCAGAACTGCTCCCAACATTTTCTCAAGCCCTTTGTGAGTTCTGCCATGCTCCTCGTATACAGAATATTTCACACACTACAATATGCTACCTATTAAAATGTGTGTGTACAACTGGAAAAGTGTTCTGAATGATCACTTTTGGTAATATTATGACTGTCACAATCTTCTAATCTCTTTCTCTTGGGGACCCAATTATAGTAGAAAAGATGCTTTAGGAGTTGGAATGAAAAGGCAATTGGTGAATGAGCAAACTATTATCAAGAACTGGGTTTTTCCTCGGGAAACAGAGTAAAGGAAAGCAAGGATAAGTAGAATAGGAGGGAAACAAAAATAAGTGCATAATTGCCAACTAATGCTATAGCAGAAAGCATGAAACAGAGTTAAGAGATGCTATATTTTCGTAAGAACACAACAGAATCTAGTCCATCTGAATTAAACTTTTAACCAGCATTGTCAAGCATGTTAGGCTTCAGTGAGTCTTGCTTCAAGGGTGAGGGCCATGTGATTGCTGAAGTCCACATGCATTGCAAACATGGTATTAGTGATGAAGAAAACCACAGGAAATTGAGATAAAAATGTTTAACATCTAAGTTACATCCTCCAAGTTACTGCAGAGGGAAAGGGTGGCTCTATCAAGTCTCACTGACATAAACTTCCTTTTAGAGATTCCTCTTCCAACAGAGCAAAACAATCCATTAACTTGGGGATTCTTGGTCACGTTCTTTTTAACTTGGGTCAACTGCAAAGACAATACTATAGGCATGGAAAGCTAAAATTTTGCAAAACAGCAAAAGTGAAAATGTCTCCAACTAGGCTTGAAAACCAGAAGCATCGCTGCCTTCGTCCCTGCAAGCACAGGTTCCACACTCCGAAGAATAATGCTGCTTAACGTGACAGTAATGCAACCATGCTGAATTTACCAAGAATCTATTTTCTTCAAAGTTCAAACAAAACACTCTAATGTTAGAAAAATATCTCACTGACTATTTAACACTGAATGTTCTTTTTCACAATGAAGGATTTAGAAATATTGAAAGCTGTAATTTGAACAATAAACTGAACAGAAAGCTAAAAGGATATAGAGGCATTTGTTTCATAAAAGGTCTAATATTTAAATTCTGAGAACTTTAAAGTACATTTTTTCTATAAATCCATCTTATATAATAACAAGATCTTGGGGGTACTACTTAGGGTGCTCACCAGTTGTCTTCTGACGAGCATTATTTCTGGCCTTCTCGGCCCCAGGGGCTCCAGACGTGGTGGCACTCCGAACCCTCACGGGCTCAGCCAGATCTGGGTGGCTTCTCCAGCTGAGAGAAAAGGACCGGCCCACGGTAGTTCCTTTCTGGGTTTCTGGGACACAGCCTGATAAAGGATGCAGGGTCAAAGAGGTCATTTGAAGGCTACACTGACATGTTTGATTGCCTGTGTTGCTCAGCAAATGGCACTCAGGCAGTGATAGACAATCTGCTGATTTCTCCATTGCAAACTAGGAACTACTCCCTTATACTGCAAGTTAGCAAATCATTTAAATGGTCAGTAGTCCAGACATTCTGACTGCCAAAGTATTCTGAAGAATCTCTTCACAGTCTCAGGAATGTTATCCTATCCTTATAGAACTAAATCCCATATGCAACAGAGCAAATTAATAAGCCTCCTCCGTATAAGAACAAGGTAAACAGTTTTACTACTACTCCTGTGATAGCGCAAAGCCACTATTTTCTAACTGCAAAACTTAGAGATCTTGTGGTGAAAATATCACTTCATCTTATAGACTTCAACCTCCTACAAATCCCCAGGGGAAACCATAGTGAAAAACTCAAATGTGTTTTCATTCAAACAGCAAGGTTTTGAAAATCTAAAACTAACATAACATCCTTTTTTTTTTTTAATCAAAGCTCTGTAACCATCAGATATTGTAGGCTGAGACTCAACTCTGCCTGTTGCTCTGATTGGTTACTGAAATGAAAGGTCAAAAATCCAAAACAAATACAGGAGGAATGAGAAGGGGACACTTCAGATTTCCATAGCGGAAGGTGGTTGTGACCTGTGGCTTGCTTTGACAGCCACATTCGTCTGCCTCTGTTTGAGTGTTCATTTGTTACTAGTCTAGAACTCAGAAGGCGAGTGTTTCTGTACTGAACACTCACATCTGCAGAGAAGGGATGGCGGAAGACACAGAGAACGATCTTCCATCCTCTGGTTCACTCACCAAATGACTGCAACAATCAGAGCTAGACCAGCTTGAAGAGAGGAGCTTCTTAGTCTCCCTTGTGGGCGCAGCCACCCAGGGCCTTGGGCTGTTCTCCATTGCTTTCCCAGGCCATTAGTAGGGAGCTAGAACGTGGAGCAGCTGGGACTCAAACCGACAGCCATATGAGATGCAGGCACTGCAGGTAGAGGATCTGGTCCCAACTACTTCTTAACTATCTGATCTCAAACGAGTCAGTCACTAAGGCCTCTGTCCTTCAGCTTCTTTGTCTGTCATATAGGATAACACCAGTATCTAGTTCATGGAGTTATAAACGCGAGGTGAGGTGATATATACAAAGCACTAGCCATTATTGTTTTGACTGTTACTATGTTAGTTGACATGGCTAGTCCACTCTACTTCCCTTTTATCATCTTTATTTTTCCACAGACTCTTTAGAAATTCATCATTCTCATCAAGGGAAGAGAGTGATATGAGACATCTAACATCATTATTAGAAAACAAAACAAAACAACAAAAAAAACAACACTGTAAAACTAGAGGGGAAATCAATGTGTGGAGGAGGGGTCTTAGGGAAGGGAACAGGCAACCCCAAAACCTATGGAACTATATCATAAAACAAAGTAAAATATGTTTTTTTTAAAAGATGGCATATAGGGTTAAACTGCCACTTACAATGCTGGCATCCCATATGGGTACCAGTTTGCGTCTCAGCTCCTCCACTTCCCATCCAAATCCCTGCTAATACACCTGGGAATTTAACGGAAGCTGGCCCAAGTGCTTGGGTCCTTGTACCCACATGGGTGATCTGAAAGAAACATCTGGAGCCCAGCTTTGGCCAGGGTTGCCATTGCAGCCATTTGGGAAGCGAGCCAGCAGATGGAAGAATCTTGGTCTCTCTGTAACTCTGTCTTTTCAAAATAAATAAAAGTAAATCTTTAAATGTTTGGAGCCCAAGCGTTAAAAATAAAAGAAACACCGTGCAGGTGCTTCTGCTCGTGATGATAATTTAAGCACTAATTTCTTGGAAGCAATACACAAACACTCCCTCCTCCCCAGTACCTGGCACTTGATGTTACCCTGGAACAGTGGACGTACCTTTCCCTCGCTGCTTCTTTTCCTTTTGTTCACTCAATTTATCCAGAGGTAGGTTTGTCATCTCAACTCCATAGACGGTTCTTGCGAGCACAGTCGTCAAGGAGTCCATGATGTTGGCCCACTCGTTTATGAGCTCCTCCCACTCAGTGAGGGAGGACAGCACCCTGAGGAAGTCGTCCCAGAGTTCCCGAGAGATGTACACACAAAGGTTTGCTCGGATCCAAGCTACGATGAGAGTCTACAACCAACAAGAGAATTCAATTGTCTACATTTGGCAGCAGTGGAATTTTTTTAAAAAGCTATTTGAAGCTGTTATTAATAAAGCACAGTTTAATACAAAAGCATTTTTTGGATGTTGCTTCAGTTTCTCAAAATTCATTTGGCTAACTATAATCAGGATTGGGCTACGGTGAAATTAGCTATCAACACAAAGTTACTGAGTCAGTATTATTCTAGAATCCTTGCTGGCTCTCGCCACCACTGGAGAAAAGACAGAGTCTCCTACCAACAGCTCATGTGTTTCCTAAGACCTACCTTTCCCTTGCTGCTCTGCAGAGTGTGAACTCTGTGTATGGCAACCTCCCACTCAACTCTCTTGCCTGATTTTCAATGGAGGGATTACCTGCAGATACCAAAGGACACATGACCCATTCAAACAGTCCTGAACCTGTGTCTACAAGACCCTCCTCACTCTTGCCTGCATTCACCCAGCTTCTCCCCCTGTGGACTGTTATACACAGGGCCTCCTGCTCCCCTACACTTATTCCCCGTTTATGACTAACACGCCAGCTTCTGTCTATTCATTTTTTACACTCGCATTTTCAAAATGAGTTTACAGCTGTTATCATAAAGTACCTAAATACAATAAACTTAGTACATATTAGATCCATACATATTATCTTAGCCCAGTGAAGACAAGGCACTGGCACTGCCACTACAGCTCAGCCTCACATCTGGCCCCATTACCATCTCCCAAACTGCACGAGACATTCCAGTGGCAGGAGATGCCCCGACTTGGGAATCCAGCTTATAAAACAAGGACAGTATGACCTACTGTAACTTAAAAAACACAACTCACCAAATACCACACTTACATAGGCCTGCTAAAACACCATCATGACTCACAACTCAGCACTTGCACATAGAGCAAAACCATGAAATAAATTTGGAGGATGAACCCTTGGGTCCTCTGAAAATGAAATCAGGGTGTCTTTTTAACTGACTACCCTTTTCTGAAAAGAGGAGTTAAAGAGAAAAGAGCCATAGATTCTTGATTCTGTCACTTCCTTAGAGACAAGTCAGTTGGCTTTCCTGGAGTCACATTCTTCATTTAAAAAAAATCAGATGGGGCCTGGTGGCGTGGCCTAGTGGCTAAGGGCACCAGGATCCCATAGGGTCACCGGTTCTAATCCTGGCAGCTCCAATTCCTCTCTATCTCTCCTCCTCTGTGTATATCTGACTTGGTAATAAAAATAAAAAAATAAATCTTAAAAAATCAGATGGAAAAGATTCCCTCACTGCTGGAAATCAATGTGTTGCATCACACAACTGCGGGAAAACCCCTGACTTGGAAGTCACTCCTTTCTCAGGTACACTTGTACCAAGTGCTCCCTCCCCGCTTCTGCTCAGCATACCTTAGGGGTGCTGCAAACTAATGGAATAGACAGCTACAGGCCCATTTTCCTGATACCTTCAGAGCTTGGAGCCCACGGGGAATTGCAGAACACCTCAGATGGAACCACCACTTGCGGCACTCAGTTATCTTAAAAGTATTTAAAACTGAGTCAAAGCCAAACACTATTTGAAGTAAATGTTCTAAGATTGTCTACTGGCAAAAAAAAAAAAAAAAAAAACAACAACAAAACGAAAAAGAGCCCTAAAATAGATAGATAGATAGACAGATAGATAGATAGGAATGATCATGGCAACTTGAAATTTCCTCTTTAGCAAACTTTTTACTAAAAAAAAAAAAATTAACTCCAAGTAGCTGGCCATTTCAGGTAGTTTACGTGATCAAACCAACATCAGACAGCACATGTGAACTGTCGTAGGAGAGCAACATAAGCTGGCTGGACAGACTGCCCCATCCTCACAGACCCTTTCTTCCCTCTTGGATCTCATGTAAGGACTTGGCAGTCCACGTGGAAGTGCTCTGACTCGGAGAACCTTGCAGTGCAGGAAGGAGTCCTCACCTGATGGTGACCCATTAAAGACGAGACTCCAAGGCCTGATATGATAGCTCAGTGCCTACATCCTCGCCTAGCATGTGTCAGGATACCAGATGAGCGCCAATTCATGCGCAGACTGCTCCACTTCCCATCCAGCTCCCTGCATGTGACCTGGGAAATCAGCTGAGGATGGCCCAAAGCCTTTGGAAACCTGCACTCATGTGGGAGAAGAGAGGGCATTCCTGGTTCCTGGCTTCGGATCAGCTCAGCTCCAGCCCTTGCAGCCACTTGGGGCGTGAACCAGCAGATGGAAGATCCTTCTCTCTGTCTCTCCTTCTCTCTATAAATCTGTCTTTCCAATAAAAATATTTTTTTAAAAAGACTTTGAAAGGTGAAGTGATCAGTAACATCAGAACTCAGAATTTGTCAAACTTCACAAAGCTCATCCTCTCTCAACTATTTTATGGTTAACTCTTAACTTAATTATCCGTTCTCAAGCTACCATAATAATAACAAAAACACCAAAGCCAGCTAATAAACACGTATTCAAAACTAATCTCTAAAGAAGTTCTGATAAGACTTCTGCATTCTTGAGGGGGGGATGGCAGGAGGTTTTTCCCAAACATCCACACTAAACAAAAAAATCCCACAACTCTAGAATGATCTCTTGCCTAATTGTGTTATAATGTCTCTCAAAAACAGAAGCACAAGACCAGACAAATGGCGAGGAATGAGATCCAAGCACAGACCAGCCTGGCACTGGCTTTGGTTCACGTCCACTTGGCAGCCTCATCCTAGCAATGGAACACAAGAGGGTGCCAACACAAAGACACTCTACTGAGAGCACAAGCACAGTGTGCGTGCAGGAGGCGAGCAAGGCAGCCATCAGGACCATCTTCCAGGCCCCAGCAGTCAGACAGCTGCAAAAAAAAAAAAAAAAAAAAAGTATATGGCCACTCCACAGACCCACTAACTAGGCAAGGCAAAGTATAAATGGCAGTATTCACAAGGGTAGTAAGTATGTGCAAATTATTTCTATATAAACTAGTTCTCATATATTTTTCACCAACCCAAGATCAATCATATTACATTAATGAAACTTAATATGAACAATTGAGTTTGTTTTGTTGCAATGAGCATATTTAGTTTTTTTTTTGTTTTAGATTTATTTATTTATTGGAAAGGCAGATATACAGAGAAGAGGAGAGACAGAGAGGAAGATCTTCCGTCCGATGATTCACTCCCAAAGTGAGCACAATGGCTGATGCTATGCCGATCTGAAGCCAGGATCCAGGAACTTCTTCCGTGCAGGGTCCCAAGGCTTTGGGTCATCCTCGACTGCTTTCCCAGGGCACAAGCAGGGAGCTGGAAGGGAAGCGGGGCTGCCAGGATTAGAACCGGCGCCCATATGGGATCCCAGCATGTTCAAGGTGAGGACTTTAGCCGCCACGCCACGCCACGCCACGCCGCTGGGCCCAAGCATATTTAGCTTTAAAGAAATGACCCCTCTTTATGTTATCCACACCCACATGCTGTAGCTGCATTCTAAATACACTCTTAATATATATTCTCCAAAAGCACTCCCAAGCCAGCTGTAGGCAGAAGTTTGTTCTCTCTGCAACCGTCTCTCCCAGATCATTACTCACTATGTGTTTACCTACTGAATTGTTCCAAGTCAGGCTCACTCAGTGTACTAATTCTTTCATTTGATTAGAACATTTGATTTTTCCAGAAACTTTTTACATTGCTCTCTTTTAGAAAGCTTTATAAATCTTGTAAATCCTATCAATTTTAGCATGTTATAGTAAGCTGCAGTCCTTAAGGTCCTTTGACACTTCTACTTCCCCAAGTAATCCACCACACATCAGCCTACTGATGCTCCTGACCCTGCTCAACACAGGATGTGAGAAGCACAGTGTCTTCCCTGCTCTCTGTTGGTACTGAAACAGCCCAGTTCCTCCCGGACATCTGTGATCTTACACGTGCAATTCTCCCGTCTCTCCCAGGACACCTTGTCTTCCCTCCAGGGAACATCTACTGGTGAGCAAACACACTTGATTACTGCTTACCCTAAACCCTCCCTCCGCACATGGCACCCACTCCAGCCAGTTCCCCTCTCCTCCTCTGATCCACAGAAGACCTCTCTGAAAGCCTTGTCTCTGCCTGCTAGTCTCCATGGTCTATCTCTTCTTTCCTCTTCCATCCATTCCACGTTGGCACCCCACCACCCCGCACCCCCCAGGACATTCAAAGACAGTGGTCAACTGCCTGCTCTCCCCTCGCCCAACACCGTTCCGGTTGTCCAGGGCATGCATGTCTCTAGTGTCTCTCCTCCCTCAGAATCTCTGGCTAGCTCCCTCTCTTCCATCAAGTATCTGCATGGTGAGCCTGGCCCTGTGAAGTTATATTCAGCTGTCCATCACAATAACTGTTCTCACGTATCTAGCCCAATCCTGTGCTGTAGTTCCTCTTGCAGCTTTCCAAATCTACCTGGTCCTCCACCAAGGCCAACAGTTCTTACCATCTTCCTAATTTCTAACACTGTCAAGCATATCAAAAGAGGACAAACACAAAAAGCCCAAAGGCTCAAAACTAATTGTAAACAAAACAAAACAATAGTCTTCAAAGAGCTAAGAAAAATTTCTAATGAGTGTTTTAGAAATTTAAAGCTAGTTTAAACATGCTCTTCAAATTCTCAATGACTAATTTACTATAAAATCTGATTAATTTCCTGTATTTGTAGTGTTTTAATAAAAAAGACTTACCCTAAAAAGTAACCCTGCCAAGCTCTGGGCAAACAAGTCCTTTGTTTGTTTTTCCTTTGGCTTCTGCATGACAGCTTCTGTTATCCTGAGTAGTATTTGCAACATCTGCTCCCTAGGCCACCCAAAATAAAAGCTCGTATCAATGATCACATGTCCAAAACACTTTAACTCACAGGCATAAGAAATTTGTGTAAGAATCTAGCAACATTGATAATTACGTGTTACAATTATTAGAAGTCTGAATGGCAATTACATAATGAATATTGCATTTTATGGAAATAAGTTACCCAGTAACAGTTCCAAACAGATGCCTCCGATGTCCACACCAACAGAATGACTTTCTCCCCTGGCAAAAGGGAGGTGAGATCGTGTCCTCCCAGCACGCCACTACCCTGAAGGCACTTAGTAAGGCAGCCAGTGAACAGGTATGCCTCTGTGAATTTATGCAGCATTTTAAAATTTTCCCATCCATTATTTTACTTAACCTGGAAGGTTCCCCTGCGCATCTTTGTGAAAAAAAATAAGGCTGACCTCGTGGTCTTCACACCGAGAACATACAGACCTAGTGCTATTGTGTGAGGGGACCCCACAGTCCTCTCTCAGGCTATCATATCTGGACACTGACATGCACAGAGCTCATAACAGGAGAACCCTACCACACGTCCAGATCATCTCAGGGACAACCTAGACTAGTACAGTGTGGGCACACACTACACCAGCATTTATATCATCTCGTGTAGGGGACTTTGAAGCTTGTAAGACACTGCTGCACACAGACAACATAACACTGCTTATTACAACAACAAAAGTTTTAGAATATCCAAGGGACATTTGTCTTTCTTACACCTAAGTTACAGTGCTCCTATCACAGCGCTTGCTCTCCTTGTCTTTCCCTGGATCCTGAGGGAACACAGATCACTGTGTCTCATACATAAAAGAGAAATCATCGTGCGTCTCAGATTGGTATATAACTATTTGCTGGTTGAATGCTACCTATTTGTGCATCTTTAACTCACTCTCCTTGGTTTTGCTGCCTTTCAGTGAAAAAATCAAGTATCAGACAAAACGGCTCAGTCCAGACCAGATGATAAGACCTATAAAATCATACCTGATGTATACTTTTCTGTCTGCATAGTAGAACAGCATTTTCTCTGAATAATACACAATGCTGAATCTCATTAAACTGCTCCTAGTAAAATGTCCGGGGAAGCCCTTGTCTCCTTGGTAGCTGATTCCAGCTGACTTGGTTGGCATATGCTCTCATTATACAAATTCCATCTGTTTGCTTGTTCTGACAGGGTGCCTGTACATGCCAGAAGTAGGAAAGGGGACCTAGGCATATACGCCTGCATATAAGCTGAAAAGGACCTAGGCATATATGCCTGCAGTGGGACAGCAGCTCAGCAGAGGAGGATCAGAGAGCCCCAGCCTGTTACCATAGTCAGGGCAGCCACGTCCCTGTTACAGGGAGGTACGACCAACACCAGTGTCAACACTGCCAGCTTACATTAGTGATGACTGACACAATGACAAACGGTGCATCCACATGAGGAGCTGTGTGCCCATCGCGCCAGTGTGGTGAGAGTGGCAACTAGTCTACGTTGCAAAAAAAAAGTCCTGGTGATGAGAAACTCTATCAAGAAGCACAAACATGACCAGAATAATGATGGACAGAAAGAAAGCACCTCGTCCTTCAGGGAGTACTGTTGGAACTAACAGACTTTCCTGTGAACATGTGAGATCAGGCAGTTTGCCGTTCCTCTGTCACTCACCTGGCTACCCCAGGACTACTTCTTACCACCACTCTGGCTAGGGCCCTGGTCTATACACCACCTTCTGTGCCACAGACTTGAAGCTCTTCTGTGCTATCTTCCACCTGGCAAAGAAGTTTTGGAAGCAGACTGGATTGTGTCACACTGTTGAACACACACAGAGTGGTGGCCCATGTCCTTCTTGTCTTCCGCAAAGCCTGTGCAGCCTAGCCTTGGCCTACCTGCTTGCTGCCTCCTCTCCTACTCGTGTTCTCTGCTCTTCCTTGAATATATCATCTCTTCCCCTGCACCTATACTTTTATACTTTTAATTAGTCACTTTGATATGTGTCACTTAAGATAATAGTTTTTCTAAAATGAACTTACAACATTAAGAATGAAGCAATAAAAAAATTAGTTTACAACATTTTAGGGCAACTAGCAAACTCTCTTGGGTTTATAAAGAATATTACCAAAATGTCAGTTACTGTTTCCTGAAAACTATGTCTGCTGACAGTGTTCAATGGAAAAAATCTACTATTAAGTTACATGATGACTTATTCTTAGCTCAAGAGCATTTTAAAAACAATAATGAAAACCAACGATTATCAAAGCATGGGTACTTACCTTCTTCATAATCCACACAAGTTGTTACAAAAGACTGATTAGCATCTTTTTGTTAACTTTGAAAAAGCCATGAAATGAATGGAAACTTAACTTTTTAATTATCCTGACAACCAAAAACATCTGTCTTACAATGTTAATTAATTTGAAATAAACTTACCACGTCTTTTTATTCATTGTAAGCTCCATTATCATGCGCCTAAAAATAATTAAAACAGCTTTACAAGCATCGACTTGTTCTTTCAAGAGCATGGGAACTTCAGCACATGGTTCCAGCAAAAAGACATTTGCGGCATTTGTCAAAAATACCTTAAAATCAACAGTTTTAGATTAGAATGCAGAATTGGACATATACATCTGGACACATTTTTGTGTAAAGATAATAACATTAATTTCCTTCCACCTATGAAGCACCTTGGAGTTAATTTCATACAGATTCTGTTTCAATATGGTAAACAGCACAGACACATACCCAAGGCATTTTCTAAAGGCAGGCATGGTATAGGGGGTGAAGCATGGCTTCCCAAAAGAATTCCTGGTTCCAATCCAGCTTTCTGTGATTGCATCTGAGAGGCAGCGAATGATGGCTCTGCTGCTAGGGCCCCTGCCTGTGCCCATGAGACACCTGCTGGAGTTCCCAGCTCCCGACCTCAACCTGGCCTAAACTGGCATTTAAGGAATGAAGTAGCTAATGAAGGATCTCTTTCTCTCTGTATCATTCTGCCTTTCAAATAAATGCACTATCTTTATTTTTTTTAAGATTTTTTTCTTATTGGAAAGCCAGGTATACGGAGACAGAAAGGAAGATCTTCCATCCGATGCTTCACTCCCCAAGTGACTGCAATGGCTGGATGGAGCTGAGCCAATCCAAAGCCAGGAGCCAGGAGCCTCTTCTGGGTCTCCCCCATGCTGGTGCATGGTTCCAAGGCTTTGGGCCATCCTTGATTGCTTTCCAAGGCCAGAGCAGGAAGCTGGATGGGAAGCAGGGCCGCCCGCATAGGATCGCGGTGCATTCAAGGCGAGGACTTTAGTTGCTAGGCTACTGCACTGGGCCTACATATATATATATATATATTTTTTTTAAAATCATTTTTAGTTCATGCTTTACAATACCTAAATACCAAGATATTGTCGTGGCCTTTTCCTAGGGAAAAATAATTATTATTACATATTAATCCTGCAACCTTAAAAATTTTATGGGTCAGAAGAGCACATTTCTTCCTTGATGGTAATTCTCTTTTTAAAAAGATTTACTATTTTTATTTGAAAGGCAGACTTAGAGAGAAAGAGACAGAAGAGAAAGATTTTTTATCTGTGGGTTTATTCCCAAAGGACCACTACAGCTAGAACTGAGCTGATCTGAAGTCAGGAGTTAGGTGCTTCTTCCAGGTCTCCCACCTGTGTGCAAGGACCCTAGGACTTGGGCTGTCCTCTGCTGCTTTCCCAGGTCATGAGCAGGGAGCTGGATGGGAAGTGGAGCAGCCAGGACAGAACAGACGCTCAAATGGGATCCCAGCACTGAGGGTAGAGATTAGACTGAGACATCACCACACCAACCCCTTGACAACTCTTAAAAAAAAAAAGGAAAGAAACAGGAGATGGGAAAAGATAAAATTATTGTATTTAGATGAGCAATGTTGGGGTGAAGAGAGGGGAGAAGAAAAATGGCAAGACCATGGCCAGGCATGTGAGCTCTCGCATCATCCGACCCAGGAGACTCGTCCAAGCACTCCCCGGGACAAGTCACGTATCTGAACTGCATCCAAGCTACAGATTGTTGATTTTGTGGAAGACAGTCAGGGAGCAGGTGAATGACAGGCACTTGGTATTTTCAATTATACTTCTAATAACCTTCAAAGTGAATGGGATCTGAGAGGTAATCTCCCAATCCCCATTTTTAAGATAAAACTGGGAGAGGCAAGTGACGAGCCAAAGCTGCTTTTTGCAGTTGGCAGACAAAGTCAGTTCTTTGAGAGTTCACTACGCCAGGCATCTAAAGACACTCTACACTGGTCATCATCTTCCACAAACACGCGGTTCTGGGGGCTGGTGCCACGGCACAGCAGGTGCTCAGATCAGAGAGCCAGCTCAAGTCCTGGCTGCTTCACCCTTCTGCTATCAAGCTTGTGAATGCAGGAGAGGATGAAACACTGGGAGGGAATCCCAGGCTCCCTGGTTTTGGCTTGGTCAAGCCTCAGCTATTGCAGCCATCTGGGGAGTAAACCAGCAGATAGAGCATATCACTGCGTCTCTGCCTTTTAACTAAGTAAATGAATCTTTTTTTTTTTTCTAAAAAAAAAAACTATCCAATTAAAGGATTTATTGATTTACTTACTTATTTGAATGTCATAGCTATGCAGAGACAGGGAGAGAAACAGAGAGAATCCATCACTTGCTGGTTCACTCCCAAATGGCTGCAATGGCTAGTGCAGGATCATACCTAAGTCAGCACCAAGGAGCTTCCTCCAGGTCTCCCATGTGAGTTCAGAGACCCAAATACTTGAGCCATCTTCTTACTCTTTTCCAAGGCCCTTAGCAGGGTGCTGGATTGAACTGGAACAGCTGCAGCATGAACTGGCATCCACATGGGATGATGGCATCGCAGGTCATGGCTTTGACCTGTTATGCTACAATGCTGGCCCTGAACAAATGCAATCTGTAATAGGCATGTTGTTTTTAACACTATATAAAAGGGGGCAGTATAGTAACATTCCAGGCTAATCTTCTGCCTGTGGTGCCAGCTTCCCATAAGGGCACCGGTTCATGTTCCAGCTGCTCCACTTCTGATCCAGCTCCAGGCTATGGGCTGGGGAAGCAGCAGAGGATGGCTCAAGCAGGTCTCCGCATAGACAGCAGGGGCATAAGTACTTGGGTCGTTTTCTGCTTCCTTCCCAGGTGCATCAGCAGGGAGCTGGATGAGAAGCAGTGTCCAGGACTCAAACAGTTTCCAACAGGGAAACCTGTGGCTCTTCCCTCTGAACCACACAAGACCAGCCCCTGGAGTACACATTTATAATGATTAAGCTTGACTTGCACATTAGAGTCTAGGTAACTACTCAGAAATGTTTGGCAAATAATTTGAAGATTTAAATTTCAGTCGTAAAAATGATCCTTTCTCAAAAAAAAAAAAAAACCTGAAGAAAACCAAGAATGAAAATGTAAGAGCTATTTACTGATAGATGGCCAAAAATACCATCATACTTTTCCAACATTATCCTCAATAAAACAAAACGGTCAAAATGAGCCCAGCCAGGGGCAGTCTGCCTACCTGCAGCATAGCCTGGGCCCCAGCTTTCACGTTGGTGTTGTCCTCCTCGGTCACGCAGCCTCTGTTCATGGCAGTGGTGAAGGAGTAGGTGCGCCCCCAGCTGGAGGATCGCTTATGACCTGAGCTTCCAGCTGAGGCCTTCGGAAGAGAAGGAAGCCGTTAACAGGTTCCGTTAACAGGTTCCGAGTAGCACACACTCACATATTGAAGCTCATGGGGTCACCGCAAGTCGCAGGAAAATGGGTTCAGGAGGGAGAGTATTTTCTCTACCTTTTCTCCACTCTTCCTCCAGGTCCTAAAGTGTAGTGCTTAGCACTGCTTAGGGCATGCTGAGGGCAATGGAACTGTGTTTGACTCATGATGAATCCTGACTGTGGACCCAGTCTTTCTGATCTCATGTTTGGAAGGTTTCCACCAGTATTGAGAATTCAAGATTATAGAACTAGTCCAGATAGCCAGGGTGGGGAATCCTAAAGACTTGATACAAAAATGCGTGCTTCAGTGTTTCAGGAACGTGCTCTGCTCTGTCATTTTACATTTGTCTAACCTGTGGCTTCATGTACCAGGAAGACACCCCTGCAAGGAGCACTTGGTGCTGCCACAGGACACTTTGAAGTGACCCCTGCCATGCGTGGAACACACAGTTACCTCTGAGATAATCCACTGCATGAGAAAAATTTGCCAAAACATTCTCAATTTCGTTTCACTAATTTTTTAAATTGGAACAGATTAGGGAAAAGGCAGTAGCATTTTTCCTGTCTCAGAGGTGTATAAAATATGACAGCCTAGTAAATGACTCTCCTGTGCTTATGGGACTCCAGCACGACAATAAGGAAAGGGTTGCCCAACTAGAAGACAGAATGGAACCTGTCTCTTGAAGATGTTCCTCAGAGTCCAGAAACTCAAGGGCAGAATTCAGGAGTGAAAGAAGTCCACCTGTCTTGCACTCTACTAACTGGGACTGTTGCCTCAGCAGGCAAACTTCCAACCTCCAACTCAGGTGACAGGTGGTGAAATTACCTCCTTGCTATCAATTTCTGAAAACTCGAGTTTTTCTGCATCTTCTTGAGCAGGGTCATTTTTATCCGGTTCCTCCATGAACACAGGTTTGTCCTGGAGGATCCACTTTCTGTATACTTGCACCACTTTCCTTGTTACAGCTATCTCACAGGAAGGCAACAAGAAGGCCTGAAAGACAGAAAACCTTCTTTAATTCCACAGACTCAGAGCACCAGAGAGCCACATGACAGACACTGCAAAGAACCATCACCAAGTGTTGACTTTTTTTTCAAAACACACAGCTCATGAATACACCACACAGGGCCACATATAAATGTGCCCATCAAAGTCATCTGAGGGAAAAACACAGATGTTAATTTGGTCTTTCCAAAATATAGTTTAAAAGTAACTTCTCTACTTGAATAACTTTTCCAAAGATATTAACTAAACCATACCTATTTTGATATTTTAATGGGCTGTATAAAACGACTGTAACTGCACCACTTGAAATGCTTGCTAGCAAATCAGAAACAAGATTATATAACAGACATACAGTTATGGCCACTGGCAACCAGCTAGTCCCATCTCAGCACCACATTGAGTGGGGGTAACTGCAACACAGAAGTTGGCAAATGCTTCAAATCTGGGCTTTACTTTCCTGGAGAGCCAACCCATCAAGCGTCAGAATACATCCAACAGGGTAGCTGGGACAGCAGCGGCCTGTGGGATCCTGTTGAGAAGAGGTTCCAGGAAAGAGGAGGCAGAGGCCTCTCGTTCAGAGTGCACTCTTGCCCCAGTGAGTCTTTGGATGTGCTTTTGTGCTTCCCTGATATATGGTGAACATCTGTGCTTAGTCAGCCTATTATCCTAGATCAAAGCAGTGCAGATTATCAATAGCTCACACCAATGGTGCTTTGATCCTGGTGCCTTGTTAGCTCTCCTGGAACTCCCTGCTTATACACACGTGACACGAGTTGTACATCAAACATGATCGTTGTAACCGATGTCTGAGTTGAACTATGTTTGAACTATTACTTTGCTGAATGTATATAAACTGGAATAGCACTATCCCCCGCTTTCATTCGCATTTCCTCCCCATGAACTGGCAAGGCAAACTTGCAATCAGGGCTTTACTCTCCTTAGTGCCAGCTGATTAGCCTTGACCAGTATGCCACTGCATGTGGCCTTTGTGTGCATTTACAAGGACTGAATCACATCAAGGCATTCCCTCACACATGTGCAAGCAAGGATTTCTATTTAAGCCCAGACGAGAAATTTAAGAGAAAATGCATTTGCCCTCTATGTGTGTCATTTAGTTAAAAACTACTACTGCTGTCTGCGATGGAAGCAGGAAGAAAGGGTATCACACACTCAGATGCCTTCTTCAACACCAAGGTATAGACCCTTTAACACCAAGTTGCAGAGCACTGTTTTTCTCCAGGTTACAAAGTTAATTGGACTCAGACTCAGGTCTTGATCTCAAGGTCTGGAAACATTTTTGTAACACTATCTTTAAGAACCTTATCATCAGGTAAAAAGGTTCATGCAACATACTGATTTCCATAAATGGTCACATCTCATCAAGATACAGAATAGAGGACTCTGTGTTATAGCAAGACTACACTGCATCAATACATCACATAATCTGACATGTAGCTCAAGAAATACCAACCAAGAGAAAAGTATAACAAATACCAAGTATCCTCATTCTAATTTTTTTTTTACCTAAAATTTGTTACAAAATTCTTTACCCATTGAAAAACTTAAAGAATTTTCACACTGGATACCCACATCCCTAACACTTTAGTTACCATCAGCATTTGCTATGTTTGTCAGCTTACCTCCTCAACCATCCTTCCTCAATCCGTTTTCCTTTAGACATACATCAAAGTTAGCTACAAACATCAATACACTTCAAATACTTCAAGATGCAAACAGTTGACTAGAATCTAAAATTAATTTATGGCGTTTCATTTAGGTAAACATTTCAAATAATGAACCATACAAAATTTAAGGACACTACTGGATGAGTTTTGATAAATACAGACAACCGTGCAACCCTTATTGTCTACCAAACACATTATCCTCCTCCCAAATAGCAAATAATAACTGCTGAGTTGAAAATAATATTAAAATCAAAATTATTTCTACAAACACTCTGGTTAACATATTTTAAATATATACATCATATTTTAAAAATATTTAAATATATGTAGCATATGACCATAGCATATTTTAAAATCAATTATATGAAAACAAGTGAATATTAGCAAAATTACAAAGATTTAGTGGCTTATAGAATATCTAGATAAGGAGTGTAAAAATTAAGTGAAAATTTAAGTAAAATATAGTTATATTTAAATAAAATATAATTTATTCATGCAATTAATCCAAATAAACTAAGTGTACAGGAGTTGGAAAGAATGAACATGAATGAACAGAATATTGGGAGAAAAACAATCAAAAGCAAACATTTAAAATGAACTGAGGAAAAACAAAAGGATGGATAAATCAGAAGTCAAAAATAAAGAAAAACACAATGAAAAGTTTGTCCTAAATACAGTCGGAAATAAAGCAACAAAGGAAAAAAGGAGGCAGAAACATGTTTGAAAAATGAATGGCTAACAGTTTTCTAAAAATTAACAAAAGATAACACTTCTGGGGTAGGCACAATGACACAGCACATAAAGCTGCTTGCCTGTGGTGCCAGCATCCCATGTGAGTACCAGCCGAGTCCCAGTGATTCCATTTTTGATCCAGCTCCCTGTTAATGTGTCTGGGAAAGCAGTGGGGGGTGACCTAAGTCCTTCTGAACCCACATGGGAGATCTGGAAGAAGCTCCTGGTTTCAGCCTCAGTCCAGCTACTGCAGCCTTTGGGGAAAAGAACCAGCTGATGCAAGACCTCTTTGTCTCTTTCTTTGTAACTCTACCTTTCAAATACATAAATAAATCTTTCAAGAATTGCAAAGAAAAGACAAACAGAATAAATACAAAGTATGTCATAGTGAGATCTATGAAAACAGAAGACAATTGCAAGATACTAAAAGCATCCAAAGGAGTCAGCATTGTGGCACAGCGAGTTAACCACCGCTCATGACACCAGTGTCTCACTACTGGCGCATCAGGTTAAGTGTCAGGCACTCTGCTTCCAGCTTCCTGCTAACATACCTGGGAAGGCAATAATGACTCAAGTGCTTGGGCACTTACCACTCACCAGAGACCCAGAGGGGAGTTCCCGGCTCAGTCTGACCCAGCCTTGCTGTTGCGGCCATTTGGATGAAGCGTGTGTGTGTGTGTGTGTGTGTGTGTGTGTGTGAATTTTCTCTGACACTCCTTCCAACATAATAAATTTAAAAATAAGAGCAGACAGAGGAAGGCAGACACATTTTCTTCAAAAGAATAATTGTATGACTTCTCAAAGAAACCGCAATATAAAACATCCAAAGTTCAGAGAGGGAAAAAAGAAAATAGCTGCCATTGTAGAACTCCACCCAAAATACACTTTAAAAATAAAAAAAAAAAAAGTATAAAAATTTCAGATTATGGGGCTGGTGCTGTGGCATAGCAAGTAAAGCCACTGCCTGCAATGCAAACGTGCCATATGTGTGCCAGTTTGTGCCCCAGCTGCTCCACTTTTGATCCAAATCTCTGCTTGGAAAAAGCAGCTTTGGAAGAGGTCCATGTGCCAGGGCCCTTGCTGCTCTAGAAGATGCTCCTGGCTCCTAGCTTTGGCCAGACCCAGCCCTGGACATTGCAGCCATCTGGGGAGGAACTCTCCGTCTCTCCTTCTCTCTATGGAACTCTTTAAAATGAATAAATACAGTGTTAAAATTTTTCAGATTTAAAAAAAGTGAGAAAATCTGTTATTGAAAGAAGTGACCTAAGGAAAATATTAAAAATTATTCTTTAGACAGAAAGAAATTATTTCATGCCAGAACTTTAAGGAATAAATATAACAAAAAGGGAATTCTGATAAATCTAAACATACACACACACACACACACACACACACACACACACACACACAAATAAATTTGAATAAAATAATAATAGTAGTTCTGAAAGGGAGGATATAGCTGTAATAAGAAATACAAACATCAGCATATAAACTGAAAATGACTAACTGGAACTAATGTGAATGAATACTAAGAGAATAAAATTTGAAGTGAATGCTAAACTTTGTTAGGAATGCATTTTGCTAAATATTAAAATACTTAGAAAGAGATGGCATTGTCATGCAGCCAATTAACCTGTTACTTGCCACACCATTATCCCCTGTCAAAACACCAGATCATGCCCTAGCTCTTGCACTCCTGATCCAGCTCATTGCTGAAGTACCTGGTAGTTAGTGGGTGCCGGCCTCACGACTGGGGTCCCTACCAGCCCCGTGGTGCACCTTTGGCACCGTCACAATGCAAACAAGATAAGAACATAAATAAAAAGTCCTGACTCCCAACAAGGACGATGTCAGTCAGTAGGATTCAGTCTCCTGCGTGACACATTAGGAATGTCAGTTCTGGCCCCTGAGGTTTCAGTGGCTCAGCAGACTGAACAGACTCGGGCCTACCACCACCACCACCACCACCACCACCCTGCTTTGGTCCTTTCCTAAGCTGAGTCTCCCTGACCCTCTAAAAGTCTACAAAAGTAAAAAGGGCAACACCCGAGTTAGGGCAGGAGTGGAAGCAAGGCTTTTAAGACCACCTGCTGGTGGCCAAAACCAAGTGCAGCCTTGCCAAAGCCTGCAGTGAGCTGGAAAGGCTGTCGCCACTCTCCCTGGAGTTCAGTTTTCTTGGTTGCCTTTGTTGCTGCTTGTTGAGTTCTTGTCATAGAGACAGAGGAGTGTTTTTATGCTGAGATTCTCAAGTCTGAAGCAAAGTAGCAAAGTAACCACCCTGTGGCAGGATTACTTTCCACTTCTTTCACATTAGGCTGAAGCACAATTCATCATTTAAGGTAACATCTGATATCAACAACCAGCTGAAAACTCCTCTTGTCTAACAACTCCCTTCATCTTCTTTTATCTATTGCAGGAGATTAATTTTCGTTATTTTTCTGTCTTCAGTACTCTGTTAAAACTCAGACCGTTGCATCCGTTAGAATTACCATCAGAGAGTGGTGGCTGCCACTGTTCTAGATGGGAAACAACTGCCACTTTCTGTCTCCAAACACTACTTGGCTTCCTTATTGCCACTTGTGAGATACCAACTCCTCTTTTTAAAGTGGGCCTCTGCCTCTTACCATCTGTTTTGAAAAGTCACACACGGTATGTTCCTTCTTTGTCATTCTTTACTCAGACTCTCAAAGAACCCCTGGTTCTTCCAAGAATCCTAAAGGAGACAAGCACTTTTTAAAAAGTCTATGATCACTTCAGCTCCCCCTCGTTACTGCTCTTCCCAAGAAATAAGAGTTTAAATTAATTGCACATCTTCCATTGAGGGAGCATGTTCAAAGAGTTTAGCAGTTTCCTTGTTGCTTAAATCATTTGTTCTTATCTCCTACTTGTCTCAGCTTCTTTTGCAAGAATTATAGATAAAGTTATGCACATTCAAAGTAGCTGCACAAAAGGGAAACAGTTTTATTTTCTTTTACCCTTAGCACTGACATGATGACTATGACAATGACATCACATAAGCGATCAATATGCTTGTTCTTTTCCTTGCCTGAAAAGGGCATTGAACTGTTGGAAGAATGTAATTAGGGGAACAGAATGAGTTGCCAATTTGGTGGCCAAGACCTTCCAGGCTGCCTTAGATGAAAACCATTCATGAAGAAGGCCTGTGGCTTGCTAAGATCTTGTAGTTGACTTAGAAATTTTGCAAAATATCATGGGTCAAGTACTTAGATATCTGCCATCCACACAGGAGACCCAGACTGAGTACGCTGCTTCTGGATTCACCTGGCCCAGGCCCAGATGTTGTAGTAAATGGACAGAAGTAGATAGAAGACAGCTCTCTTTCCCTGCCTTTTAAATATCTTTTTTAAAGTAACTTAAAAATATAATTAAACGTGTTAAACACATGTATTCTGAAGTTTCAACTGTACAACCTGAGGGCCTTGGGAAATTTTCCACCTTCTGATTTATAGGTCCAGAGAAACTCTGACTTACAGATTCCCAGGTGGAATGAGGAGCGATCTGCAATGACCCTACCTTGCACTGCTAAGCACATGTTAACGCCAAAGGAAAACATGTCCCTCAAGAAAGGCCTTGAGCAATAAAGCTCTAGGACATCTTGAAAATGTTCAACAAGAAAACACGACCCACCAAGTCAGTCAAGGCCAACTAATTCAGGATCGTGGAACCATGAACGAATCTGTTAAACACAAAATACCAAACCCAAACAACCTGTACATGCACTGTGATTCCAAAATCAACCACCAATGATGATATACTTATCATATAAACTGATAGCATGATGTAATTAGCACATGACGAGGCTGAAGAAAATACAAGGCTGCTTTTTCCTATTTCAGAACAAAAAATCAAAAATGCAATCTAAAATTCTGACATGCAACTAAAAAGTGATTTTGACACCAAGATTGTCATTTTTTCAATATGGGAAAATCAGCAATTAGTATGAAGAATATTTATTTGAATTTCAACAAGTCCTTCAATTTTGCCTTCTTAAGTTCGAGTAACATGAAATTCAGAAATTCACTGAATTACTTCACTGAACTTTTACTTACTTCGCCTCACCCCCTCATTATCTCAGAGGATCCACGTCTGGTTTCACCTTCCCGGTCCATGCCCGTGGCTGCCTGCCCATTTCCGCCTGTCTAGCTGTCCGTCTTTACTTGCCTGCATATTTCTGGTTCTGTCTGCCTATCTCTGATCTGCACCTGTTTACCTGTCCCTCTGTATCTGCCTGCTTATTTCCATTTCTGCCAGCTGGAATATCTGAACCCATCTGTCTGTTATTTCATGCCTGGCTGCCAGCCTGCTCACGTCTATCAGCTCATCTGAAATCCTCCTGTCTGTCTGCCAGCCTGCTTACACACTCTCTGATCTATCTCTTCTCTGCGGGTCTCTCTTCTATCTGGCCACCAGTCACATACAAACATACTGAAATACCAAGAATAGTGCTCTTCTGACATTAAAAGTCATCACCAAGATGGTAGTGTCTTGATCAACTTCCTGTTGCTTTTTTTCTTCCTATGTATGTGTGTGTATATATATATACAGATATATAGATACAGATAGATACTGAGCTTATATAATCAGTACATATTTAATAAAGTTGTACTTTAAAATAACTCTTTAGATTATAGCCTAAAGAAAACGGGTTGTGGAATATATATATACACACATATTTACATCTGTATACACAATATTTTCAAAAGTAAATCATAAATTTCACAAAAAAGCTAATCCTTACATGAACTACGCCATTAAAATGGTTTATTCTATTTTACTGCTTTATTATTAAAAATAATAACACAAGTTTTTAGAAAGTGGTTTCATAATCTATGAAGGAATCAGAGCAAGCAGACCCAAATGCTCTACAAGACAAAACTACCAGCGGAGTGGCCTGGTTCCCAGAATTGCCCTGCACAAAGCACCCCATGACCTTTCGGCATCCTGTGGGGGACAGCAGCAGAGACAGGCTGCCCTAACCCTTACCAACCCCTGTCTTCGTAACTATCTCCTCCTGTTACCTTTAAGTTGTTAGATCATCCTGGTCAAGGAGCCCCCTGCCTTCCAAGCCCATTACACAGGGATAGCTGAACTTCCACCACCTCACTCGGCTCTCTGCAGCATCTGTACACATCATATTGTCCCACACAGACTGTGCCATTCTTAAACGTCACAAGTTTAATAGTCTCCTAATACTTTAATACTGAAAAAAGAAGTTATTACAAAAGAGATGACATTTTAACTTTCATAAAATAAAAATTCATCATTGACCAAGATGGAACAAAAGAACTGAACCCTCTCTGGCAGAGGCCTGCAGCCTAGTTTCTCCACAGCAGCACTAACAACAAGGTGCACCAACAGGTCCTTAGCCATGGTGGAGTCCAGGCAGGGGGCCTTGCTGCGCTGCTGAAAAAGAATCCCTGGCTGGCTGCTATCCACTAGGTGTCAGTATCAAACCCTCCCTCTTGTGATGCTCTAGACTATACCCAGACCCTGATCACCATTCCATGGGCGGCAGCCTCCGCCTTCACTGCAAAGCCCTGGCATCATGTATGTCTATTAGCCCTGGCTCCAGCTTCACACCTATGCTCTCCCCACTACACTGCATGTCTAGGATTCCAATGTCTTCAGTCTATCTCCTTTATCTCCTTTCATTCCCCTCTCAGCTTCAGCTTCTTTCTCTTGTGCCATGAATCCTTTGGCAGTATGTTCATGCTTCATGCCTTTGCAGGAAAGGCAGAGCTTTTTGTACACGCCCTCAGCGTGTGAGACAGCCCGGAGGCCCTGGGATGATGGCCCTCTGCTATGTCTGGGTGCCCAGTGTTCAGCCCTGGCTTCCTTCCCACCTGCCTATGGTTTGTTATAGAAACACAAAGCTGCTGCTGCATGACCTTGCACAGAGTTTTCCAAAAACAAACCTAACACATTACACACACAACAAAAGAATCACAACAATCCACAAGACATTCAAAAGCAGAAGTAGAGCGATTGTGATGCTGTTGCTCTGTAAATTAGCCTGTTTAATAGGATTTCTTGGTGGGTATGAGTCAAAGAACAAGAACAAAAATCCCTTCCATTTCGTGACCAGGTAACACACAGACACTAACCTGACGAAATACTTCATTCACGAAGTTGACATAACCTCGCGTTGACAGGAGAATGCGCTGCACCATTTCATACACCAGCCGGTGCTCCTCTTCAATGCTACAAAGGCTGCAGTTGCTGAGTCTCCGGTCGGACAGGGTGCTGCTGTTCGAATGGCTTTTGTCCTGCTCAGTGGGGCCACCGGCATCTGACTCTGACGCCCTCTCTTGCACAGCACCTCCACCAACAGTCTGGAAGGAACCATCACATGGCTCAGCAAGCCTCAGCCCCAGTCTTGAAGCCCTGCTTCATTTTCAAGGACCCGGGGTACTCATAGGAAGCTGAAAAGCAGCAAACTGTGTGAAGCAAAACAGGTTCCCAGAACCTGTACTTACCGATTTTCTAATTAACCAACAAATTTCTTTTCAGGTGACTTATTTTAAGAGGAAAACTCAGTTCCTTCAGAGAAAAGGGCTGTGAAATCTTTTCAACCTTAACATGTTTAATTTGCATTTGACAAAACTGAAGAATCCATGAAAATATCAATGCATTTGTATTGTCCTCATATTCAGGCTCCACATTTCAGCATATTCTCTATGGTCAGATACCATGAAACTGGGGTGATTTTTCTGCAGCAACAACCCTGGGCTGCATCGTTAATTTCTAAGACCACATGGCATCTTGATGGTGGAGTGCCAAGATCCCCACAGGGTCTTTCATGTGAAGAATTTCAAGCTGTATTCTCAACTAGCTAAGATACTTACAAAATTATAATAGGTAGAAAGACTTTAAGAATGCAAGGAAATAAGAGTAATTTTCATGCAATGATTGACAAAGTATAATACTGATTTCTGCTCTCCCACAGAATTCAAGGCTTCCTTTAAACAAATGTATAATTTTGTTTTAACTGCATAAACTCCATTATTGTTTAAATATTAAAATACATCACTAAAATGCCCTAAAACTTTTATTCACTATATATTTTTTTACAAGAAGTAATAAGACATGAGCGGCCAGAGAATAATTTCAGTAACTATCAGTAAGAGTGTGAAAACTGAAACACAAATCTAAATGTAATCTCTACTGCAGGTTAATGAAAAGTCACATTTATAATAATTTTTCTCTTCATGGCTTGGTTACTAAAGCCTGTAGGGTTTGTCAAAGTCACTGTCACCTGTGAAATGCAGTTCAACTTGTTGATGAATTCACCGTCTTCTTCAGGAAATACATTTTACTCATCTCTTTAACCTAGCTCCAGTCAGGATGACTTGAGAAGGAAATGAGGGGATGCAGAAGAGTCCAGAAGTAAGGCCTGAAGGCCCTGCCTTTCCACGTTCGCACCCCTGCGCCAAGACAGTGCCCACACTCCCTCGGGTACCCAGGGTGCCCCTGTCGGAGACTACTTTCTCCCAGGACTCCTAGGCTGAGTCTTGCGGGGTGTCTTTACTTTCCTGCTCAGGCAACCTTTTCTTCTGCGTATTGGTTTGGTCACCTCCCCTTCCTTTCTCCTGCTCATACAGTATTTGTAGGTAGAAGCAGATCTTGTCCTCAGGTCTTGTCTGCCTGATTCCTGCCTCTCTGATTTTTTCTGCAGTGTGACATGGCAGAAGGTTCTCTCTTACTGGCCACCTGCACGGTTCCTGAGGGCCAGCATGTGCTGCAGATGGGCTGAAGCTCATGCTTAGAGCTCAATGGGAAGGAGTATGGCGTATGAATGAGGGAACCAGGAATGGCACATAGCATCATGCCCTCAGAATGCCAGCTTCACCACCCCCTCCCGCCAGACTACCTCATCACAGCGCCTCCTGCAGTGTTCCATCTGCAACCTCAGCATTACAGGCAGAGTGGATCCACACCTCCAAGTAATAACCCATTAGAACCCAATAACTTCTAAGAACTAACAACCTGCATTTTCTTGAAAAATGATGAATCACATACCTGGATGATTTTAGGCAATACATCAACTCCATTTTTAGTGTTCTGTGTTGTGGTTAGATACTTTTTGTCCAAAAAGAAAGTGACAATCCACTTAATAAAAACAACACGGGCTGCCATGTAGGGGATTTTTGTACTGTAAATGCTTTCATTGTCTCGAGTTGTAGTGATGTACACTGGCTTTGATCTTACATGGGGGATGTCTGGCAGAAAAAGAACACGGGGGTGATCAGGTTAGTGAACATGCAGATTGTGTGACCCCTACAGATGCTCCAATTTTAAACAAAACACACAAGCATTTAAAGCCACTAAGGTGAAGAGCCAGAAAGGAATACAAATGGCACCTGACAGTAAGTTTGGTTCTAATTCTGTCCTCCAATGGCCCAGCAGGGCTGGTTCTAGCAGCACTGTTCATGTATAACTACGGTGGACAACCATGGCAAAACTAAGCCAGCAACCTCTAACAATTACGAGAAATCACATAAGGCAGATGGCAAGAATATTTTCAAATATGATATAGCTGATTTAATTTCTGACTAGCACAAATGTAAAAGCATATATGAACATTTCACTGCACTAACTGAATGTACTGGACTTCAGTTTTGTATCTTTTTCTCTGTAGATGAGCCCAAGGAAGTAGAATCAACACAATCAACTTTATGTCTCAAAGCAGGCAGAAAGTCACATCCCATCCTTAGTGCGTCAGATGCCAGCTTTCCACAAAAATTAGCAAGAGGTCCATCTTCCACTCTTTAAATTCCATAACCATTTAAAAGAATTGTGTGGTTCAGGACATGGGATACTAAGTGCCACAGTCCTTTCTCTGTCTTAACTAGTTTTTGCAGTACATGCAGTAAAAAAAATTTTTACAGAGTATGTTTTAATCCAGGAATACTAACGATATCTTGGTTTTTTCCACAATGAATATGAGCTACATACAAAAACAAACACCCATATACATTTACAGTTAACAAAATACACATTCTATACCTGTAGCAGCCAGAACTATGGCACTGTTACATGTCTTAAAACATTTCAAGCTTCAGCGGCTCTCCCCTTGTCTGCCTCTGTGTGTGTGCATGTAAACACGTGCATATATGTGCACATGTGTTGTTTCAATACACATAAACATACACAGCACAGATGATATAACGCACTGGACGAATATCCTTTCTGGCCTCATCACCCTCAAAACAGGTCTTGGTTATTTATCTGAACTAATTTCACCCGGTTTAAATAATAGGACCTGCCACTTTTCCTAAACTCAGCAATGCTTCTGTTCTAAGCCTATGCAAGGGAACCATAAAGAGCAAACTTAAACAGTCCTGTATATTTCCTAGTCCTCTGGGGCTTGCTGTTCCTAGACGGTCTACACACCCAAATATCTGTCCTCCATCTGCAGCCATCACTAGTAAAGTAACTGCTAGACTGAAGAAATGCAGCAATAAAAGCATGAAAGAAAGGGCAAGCTGTGGTAGCTGTGTGTCCCCAGCCGACCTTCCTGGCTACTAGGCAGGGTCAAGGGGGGCACCACATTCTACCACTTGAAACAGAAGACTTTGGGAAGTGCAGACTTTTTCACACTAAAAGCTGAGAACTAGAATTATGCCCAAAATAATAAACTTTACATTATTTCTGAGCAGAGGAGCCATGGTTTCCCTTTATGACTGTAGTTCTGGTTCATCTTGGTACAAACAGCAAGACTTACTTCTTAGGGAACCATAGAACCTCTTACAATGAAGTTATTATTCAATGCAAGAATAAAATGACTGTTCTTTAAAATAATGAAAGGCCAGAGAGAGAAAGAGAGAGAATGAGAGAGAACAAGAACAGAGAGAGAGAATAGCTTCCCCATGGATGTCCTCCATACACAGATCCAGAAGTACTTACCAAGTACAGGTTTGTAGATGTTTGTTAGCTTAGTAAATGATGGAAACAAATGAGGAAGATAATACTTTCGGAATAATGTAAAAAGAAATTTAAAACCAGTATCTTGATTCTCCTTATTCTTCCACTCCAAGCTTGCAGCCTTTGGATCACATGTGGAAAAAAACACAGGAATATTTATATTTCAAAATCATATGTACTGAACTCAAATATTGCTGTTGTTACAATGTCTTCTCAAATCTGGGAAAAAGTGATGAAGATGACTGACAATCATGTAATAAAATGTCTTAAAAGATGACAGAAATGAACACTTCAGAACAAAACAATAATTATATTAACAGCAGTATTTTCCCACTAAATTAGAAAAAAAAAAAAAAGCCCAATGGCCCAATGGCATCTTTTCAAATTTATCCTACCACATCATGTCCATATTTTTCCTCCACATATTCTTTATAACGTTCACCGTGCCTTTAAAACAATCTAGTCAGAAATAATTAGGTACTTTACTCAAAAAAAGTCATTTTTAGAAATGGGAATGAATGAAACAGCCCCTTGCACAGATCTCAACCACTGTTACCTACAAGCAAAACCTGTATTGAAAGACAGAAGATATGGAATCTTGGAAGGTTCATTCTCCTTCTTGAAACTGTTCAGAGGTCAGCACTGTGGTACAGTGGGTTAAGCTGCCATCTATGAAAATGGCGCCCTGTAAGAGCACCAGATCCAGGCCCAACTACTCCACTTCCAACCCTGCTCTTTCCTAATGCATCTGGGAATGTAGCAGAAGATGGCCCAAGTCCTTAAGCCCTGGCCAAATATATGGGAGACTAAGATGGAGCTGCTCCTGGCTCCTAGCGTGGCTCTGGCCACAGCATCACTTGGGGTGTGAACGACTTGATCTCTGTCTGCCTCTCTCTGTAAATCTCCCTTTCCATTAAATAAATAACCTCTTAAAAATGTATAATAGCTCACAGGCTAGGGTAAAACTGCCCTCTAAGCCCAGTTGTGGACTAAGTTAAAACTTTCAAAGGACTGAGATAATATTCTCCACCTTAAAACCCAGTGCAGTGTGTACACAGTGTGAGCCCTCTACAGCCCCAATGCAATGGTCACAGTGTGAGCCCTCTACCGCCCCTGTGCGGTGTGCATGCAGTGTGAGCCCTCTACAGCCCCAGTGCAGTGTGCACAGAGTGAGCCCTCTACAGCCCCAGTGCAGTGTGCACACAGTGGGAGCCCTCTACAGCCCCAGTGCAGTGTGCAGAGTGAGCCCTCTACAGCCCCAGTGCAGTGTGCACAGAGTGAGCCCTCTACAGCCCCAGTGTAGTGTGCAGAGTGAGCCCTCTACAGCTCCTGTGCAGTGTGCATACTGTGAACAGTCCATCAACAAAGCAGGTCCTCAGCCCAGGAGCAAAAGATCAACCCAACTACTGCAGTGCTACATGTGGAGGAAAGGTGCAGGGCAAACCTTGGAGAAGACCTGGCAGTGGTTCTTCAGTTCTTCACACCTGGTAGACCACAGAATATGAGCAGGCAGAGCTTTCCAACTCCTTCACAGCATTTGCACAGGCTTAGGATAGAGACGGGTGCTTCACTGCCCCAGGGGCCTTGGGTCAGCACCCTTAACCTGGCAGAGGCTGCTCTCAGGAATTGCCCATAGACTGGAGGGAGGTACATGCACTCAAATCTAATTCTGTGCACAGCCACAAGGTCAGAGCCTATAGACCAACCTCTGCTTTCTACAAATGCTTTCCCCTTTAGTGGTGGTGTTCCTAGGAAGGACACAATGTATCCAAGATGACAGACTCACCCAGGGCACATCTGGAATGAAATCCCAAGACCTCGGACACATCCATTTTCTACTGTGATACTGTGTGCTATTCCCCCAGGACAAATGGAATATCCATTTCTGATAAACCCTTCTGAACAGGTGGCAACTGAAATGTATATAGGATGGGCACTTAGAGCTTCCAGGCAATGACAGAATGTCTCAGTCAGAATGTCTCAGTCAAAGTTTGAAGGACTTTGAAGTGCTTGTATTTCTGGTATTGGCTAAAGCAAACAAGTGGTATGCTACCAGCAGTTGTAAAATAATCTGATAAGGAAGAACAGGGCAGACTGTGCCTGGAACCTTGAGTTTATAGACAGCTGGTACGGGAGACCAAGGTCAAACTCTGCAGGCACTAGTCCACAGGGTGGCAAAAGTCTGAGACCAAGGTCCAAGTGTAGGTGCCAGGTGAGGGTCTGCAGCTGGGCAATGGTCCAAGGACACAGAACTGTGTGCTTGAAGGACAGTCTGCAGTCAGCTACTTACCGAATTCTGTCCTCGGATCACACAGTTGTTTCTTAATCATTAAGCATTGGCTGGCTGAAATCAACATGGAGTGTGGCAATCAAAGTTTGTGCCATATCAGCTGCTGTCATTTGACTCCCCAAGTACTTCAATAAAAGGTTGAGGTAGCAAGTATTCTGGGTTGGCCTCCCTTTTTAGAGAAAGGCAGCTTCTATATGGCTGCCCTACTTCTACAATCCTTATTTGGTGAACGTCTCATTTCTTATTTTCTCTATGGCATGGTGTCTCTCTCTCCAACCCTGCCCATGCCATGTGGGTTATGATAGGGGTTTGGAGAGGGAACGAGTCTGCCTAGCAGAACACTCAGAGAGGATAGCTTGCACACCCCATATTGAACAACAGCAGAGATAAGCACAGTCCCCCAAGGAAAACTAGGAAGAAGTAGAAGAAATAGAGGGAAAGGCTCAGAGAAAACATTCCAAGTGAAAGGACCTCTGGGTGCCAGGGCAGGCACCAACAAGTCGCCTGGAAGTTCCAGCACAGCAAATGCTGAGGAGTGCCCTCCCCTCTGTTGGGCCCTACCACCACAGCAGCAACAGCAGGGGGCAGGTAACAGGGGTTGTCCATCAAGTGTGAGATGAAGAGGCCAAGAAACACATACCACCTACTGAAATCCTGCACTCCTGTTTCAGTTTTGGGTTCAGCTGGTGACTAGAGGAAAAACAGGACATGTGGCATAAAGTGGCACAGAGCATTGGTGGCACGATGAGATCATCCAGTGCTCTCATTCTCTTCTCTCTGCATGCTCTGCCCGCTCCGTGTCCACTTGCTCAGCCACTGGGCCTGCCAGCTCCTCCAGTTTGTCCCTCTAGCATGCAGAGCAAGGGCAGAGAAGGGCTGATGAAGGGAAAATAGCTCAGGAACACTCACAGAGCATGCTAGGTATGCTCAGTCTGGCTGAAGCTACCCAACAATGGCACATAGTCTACATAGCGAAATATCACATTAAAAAAGTCACTCCAAAGAAAAATGAGAAAGCATGTGAGAATAAGCCCATTACTGAAGCAACTATGATTTTTTTCTCTGACCTGAATAACCATGTACTTCAACAGTATTTGAAGAAAAAAGCAGGTTTGGTCCTCAGCGATCTTCTCTCCTGATATGGCTGGCACGAGTGCAGTGATTTCTTCTGGATAAATCTTTGCTGCAGGTTGGAAAACAAGGAGAGCTCTTTATATCAATGTGCACTTTTAAATAGGCTTCAGGGTTTTAAAAAGCCTCCATTAGAATATATCCACCCAGCTACTGCACTGCTCACAGCCAACTCCAAGCCAGTGTGACAGACAGCACAGAAACATAGCACAGTGTCCACCAAGCCATCTTGCCCCATACACTCGTTTTTCCTTTGAAACCGTGGGTAGGGCAGACATTTGATACAGTCCTTAAGGTGCTGACTTAGGACATCTACATCCCATATCACATATCCCATATCACAGCCTGGGTTCAAGTTCTGGCTCCAGTGTTGATGCCAGTTTCCTGCTAGTGAGCACCCTGGGAGCCAGCACGCGATGAATATCTCTTTTGTCTGTTTCTGCCCCCCCCCCCTCTCTTCCAAATAAAATGAAAATAGATTTAAAGTTAAAGGTATGGTTAACATATTATAAAGTTCCTCAAGGGTTCAAATAAAAAATAGACTAAAACAACAACAACTCTAGTTGGCTGACCCGGGACCAAATGTCAGTCCTTGGGAAATAAAGTGACATACAGCGATAAATCAATGGCACTAAAGGATGAGTTCCTTATAAATTTGTAGAACAAAAATGACCAGCACTAATGGTTCCCTGAGGCCTCTACTGTCCTACCGTAAACACTGCTTGAAAACTCATAGCTGGGTGATCCTGGCTGAGCAGATGAGTGTCCATTTATAAAACTACAGTGATGAGAACAATAGACAGCAGTTGGGAATGGTGGATGTAAATCGTATTAACCACTGCAGACACACCCCATGTCTCTGCTTACTACTACTGCCAGCATCTGGCCTTGCCTCCATTTCTGGCTTCACCACTTGATAAATGTCTCCTGCCATCATTTCCAAGACTTTTGACTCTAATATTTGTAAGGATCTGGTACGAATACACAGAGGGAGTAGTAACTCCTCTTCAGGCCTCATTAGTGAGATCAAGATTTCTATCAAAGAAAATGAAAACACAAGGAATTCCCCAAAGTACATTCCAGAGTAAAATCAACACAGAGGATGCGCTAACACTGCTCACCATCAGCTGCACTAGGGCTGGGGTTGATGAGCGTCTCCAGCGTGCAGGGTCCCCTGGAGGATGGGACTGCTGGGAAACCGGGCACCAGGCAAGCAAAAATCAGCACCTGCTCTTCTGCACAGTTTGTCTGAAGTGCTTGCAGCCACAAAAGAAACAGCCTGATTCCTTCACAGCGTATCTAAACAAAACGACAATCAACAGCAGAAATGAGACACTTGTATGTACCGGGAGAAATGCATTGCAATAGAGCATCAGTCTTGAGAAAGAAAAAGGAAGAGTCAAAGGTATGGTTCAAGTACTATGCTGAGTTCTTCCCTTAGCGACAATGTTCCCTATGGACATTGCCATATAGCATAGACTTAAAGAGCTCAGGTTCTGCAGGTACTCTGGCTTCAAATGCAGATTCTGTCAATTTCTAGCTCTGACCCCAGAAAAACCATTCAACTTCTCGATGACTTAGTTTGTCCACTGGTAAAGTAGGGATAATAACCACAAAAGACCTTTACAAGGATTGAATAAAGCACATAAAAGGCTGCCTGACTAACATTAAGCATCCTGTATTTCCCATTAAAAGTATTTCATTCCCTAAGGCCCATATCACTAACACTCCATTATCCATGAAAACAATGCCAGAGATAATCTCCCTCCAGATTAATACTGTGTTTCGAATAGAATTTTCATCATGAACTGTGATACGCATGTGGTTATGACGTGCTTGAAAATCAGAACACTTACAGCTAAAAAGCCCCTGGAGACATGGCTCGGTGAGACAGAGCAGCTCTCCGGCTTCCTGCCTTGCATCCCCCTCTACTCTCTGCAAAACCTTCCCCATGTTCTGAACAGTGGCCTCACTCAATAGAAAACATCAACATAGCCAGATGTGCCCTGCTTTCCTCGCTATACTTCCAACTTCACCCTACACCTGGAATTCAAAAACATGCATCCTTTCATTTCTGTACTCCTAATTTGCTAAAAAGATGATGTCATTAAAAGAAGCTAAGTAAGCAAAGGAGAATGAAAAATAGATTGCATGCGACAGAAAGATGGACTAAGCTCTGAACACAGGCAGCTAGAGTGATTTCTGCTCCACTTTCGACTAAAAGCTCAAGGGGGTGCTAGTTTCTCTGCAGCAAGAGTGATATGAACCACAAACAAGGCTCTACAGGAAAGCCAAGGGCGGAGAAGAGCAAAAAGAAAGTGTGTGTGGCTGAGAGTGTGGGCACCTGCATGTGTGTATGTATACATGTATGTGTGTGTGTGTTGTGGGGGGCGGGGGGAGAAGAAAATGACTCCCAATATGCCCTAGCTGGCAATGCAACACCTCACTGACCATACGGACTCTCGGCAGCCAGGATCGCACCGCCGCATCGCACCAATCTCCACGTCCACTCACGCTTCCCTCCCCAAGCATGGAAAATGAGAAGCATTGTGGAACACAGAATACTATTCAGCAGCCAGGCAAAAAACGTTACAGCTCTGTATTTCCAGCCAAAAAGTATTAATAAGAGGAAAGTTTCTATGAAATTTTAGCGTGTCTTTTATGTTAACTGTATTTAATGCAACAAAATGTGAAAAAGGACTAAGAATAAATATGCAGTAACACCTCAATAGGTTGTAACTATGACAAAATATGGAATCCACAGTGAAATTAGGAATAACTCACTTCTTTTTTTGCCAATATGAAGGAGGCAGCTGACTTAAGTTTTAATTGGTCATGGTTGCTTAAACTGATATAAACCAAAAATAAATGCATTAAGTATTCATACAGCTTAATCAGCTACAAGTGAATTATCTTCCATAGTATATTCACTCTGGCTGCCTTCGTTCTGCTGCTCACATCTCAGGCCCTTCCTATCCCAGCACCAAACAATATATATCACTGTAAAGAATATGTTCCTTTAAAAATAAACTGGCTTTAACGGAAATTCAAAGATCGGCTGCACATAAATTAAAATTCAAGAGTGAGGCACAGCTGCCCTTTTTCACAATGGTTCTCAAAATTAGCAAAATTAATTCAGAGATGATTGTAAGTTTAACTAGGTTACTAAGGCAGACAGAACCGGCGTTTTAGTTGTGGAAGAAAAAACTGCCTTTCATTGTCTGACGATAAAATGGGAGCAGCTGGGGCCTTGCCTACAGCCCTTGCCATATCCAGCACAATCAGAAGCAATGAGAATTCCAAACTCTGAAGAACTAAGCCTCTCACAGTAATTCAGTATGTAGGAACAAAAAGGCTAATAATATTTGTCATGTGATATCTGTTTTTTAAAGATTAATTATTTTTTATTTGAAAGGTCAATTTACACAGAGAAAGAGAGGGAGACAGAAGAGACAGAGAGATCTTTCATCTGCTGGTTCACTTCCCAAATGGTTGTAATAGCCAGAGTGAGTTGATGTGACACCAGGAGCTGGGAGCTTCTTCTGGGTCTCCAAGGACTTGAGCCATCCTCCACTGCTTTCTCAGTCCAGAAGCAGGAAGCTAGATCAGAACTGCAGTAGTTATGTCTAGAACCGGCACCCATATGGGATGCCAGAACTAGCAGGCAAAGGATTGGCCTGTTGAGCCATTGTGCTAGCCCCTCATGTAATTTCTTGGTTAAAAACAAAGCTAAGTGTAGGGCTGGGGCTTAACCTAGCAGTTAAGATCTGGTGAGGATGCCCATGCTTCATGGCAACCAGGTTCAAAGTCCAACTCTGTCTCCAGGCTCCAACTTCCTGCTAACAGGCACCCTGAGAGGCAGTAGGTACTGACCTGTTAACTCCATGGGAGACCTGGAACAACTGCCCAGCTCAGCTTCGGCCAACCCAACCCAGAGGTTACAAGGATACATGCAGTGAACCAGAGGACCAGAGGATTCAACATTCTCTCTCCCTCCCTCTTTCTCCCTCTTAGTTCTCAAAGAAATAAAAAGAAAAAACCCTAAATAATTTTAGAACATTGCTTTTGTTTTTCCAAATGGCCTGACCCTTTGTGACATCGATAGAGAGTAATGAAAAAGGCCATGACATTTTCATGTAAAATAAATACCTTAACAGAATTTCCAGTGTGCAGCAGCTTCTTTAGAGTTGAGCCTGAAAGTTTAAAACAATGAATTAGACCTATTTTGAAAGATCAGCTCTAGAAAGAAAAAATGCATACCTATGCAAGACATATTTTTTTAAAACATCAAAGCAAGGTTATCTTCAGAAGCAAAGTAATGCCACAAAGGAAAAGATATTTTTAACTTTAGGTATCTACTTCTTTAATTTTCTATTAAGAGTGAAAAATGACAGATACTAAGGTAACTGAAGGATACTAAGGTAAGCTGACAATGGATTACATGTAAATATCGTTATGCGCAAAACAAATGATTTTTAAAACCCTAAACACAAAAATAATATAAATTACCACTCACAAAACATTTTTACAGGAACATTTTATAAATATCCAAAACGGTGGGATGCTTTCCTGGCACTGGCAACCACACTGATAGGGCCAGGCCCAACAGTCAAACTTTTACAAGAGCACCTCTGGTGACTGTTAAGGAGACAGGATCCAAATGTACTCATATCACACCAACTAACTGTGACACTGTGGGGCTGCAGCCCACTGCCACGAGCTAAGTCTGCCTTAGAAGGGTAGTATAAGTCCCCAGTTCACTCTTCTGTTATGTCCTGGGCAAGGAGATGGACTGGCAACCCCATCTAAATGGGATCTTAAACTCACAAAGGAGATGACTTAGGAAGGCCACTGGGGTTACGTACATCCCCATATTGTGTTAAAAAGCCACTGGGGCTACCTACATCCCCATATTGGAGGGCATGGATCCTGATTCCTTCCCCTGCTAATGATGCCCTGGCAGGCAGGTGGCAGATGATGGCTCAACTAGTTGAGTTGTGCCACCCATGTAAGGAGACCCAAATGTACAACATGTAAGAACAGAATGTCTAGAAGAAAACAGGAAAGAGCTTTATGACTTTGCATTTAGGCAAAGACTCCTTAGATATGACACCAAAAGCACTATTCATAAAATGAAAAATTGATAAACTGGATTTCTGTAGAGTTAGAAACTTTAACATTTCAAAGGACAATCCAAAGGGAATAAAAACAGAAATGAGAAGAAAATATATCTGGTAAAGGATTTGTATGTGAGATATGTCAAAAAAATCTCAAAATTCAAAATTGAGAACACAGACAACACATTTTTCTAAAAGATGGGTAATCTGAGTACGCACTTCACCAAAAGAAGGTCTACCGATGGCAAATAAGCACATGAGAAGATGCTGTCAATCACTTTTACTAACATAAAAAGACTGAGCATGCCAGGTGCTGACAAGAAGGTGGAGTACCCAGAACTCTCACTGATGCAGAGAATGTGTCAGGTAAATATATAGAATATTCACTGTATTCATACATTTATATACAGTAGCCTTATTTATAAGAGCAAGTAACCCAAATGCCCATTAACACTTGAATGGACAAATGAACTATGCTATAACCACATAATGGGATATTCAGAATATAAACGTGTACCACTTAGAAATAAAAGGAAGCGAACTATTGATGGATACAACACAATTGATGCTCAAATAAGTATGACAAATGAAAGAAAGCAAAGGAAAAGAGTGCATGCTGTATGATCGTATTTATAGAAACTGTGAGGTAGTCCAATCGGCAGAAACAGCTAGCTCACTGCTTCTGGGGGACTGTGGCAGAGGCAGAAAAGGGCAAGAAGACAGAGATCTCCAAAGCAGATGAGGAAACATTTGGAGGTGATGCTATGTTCATTACTCTAGTGGAAGCCATGATTTCACAGTTGTATAACTATGTCAAAACCTACCAAAATTTGTACTTTAAATATATTCAGTATATAAATATATAGTGCATCATTTGTACCTTAAATGAAGGTATCTCTTAAAAAATAAGAAACAGAAGGTTTCAAATGTTCAAATTTGTGAAAGGAAAAGGAAGCAGGAAAGTGACTTGAGTAGAAGATCAAGAGCACGGGGCTGGCACTCAGACACTGATGTAAACAAAGACAAAAGTTAGACAGCCACTGAGAAGGAGGCAAGGCACTGGCACGAAAGACAAGGACAGGGAGAGGCAAGCGGGCAGGGAAATCAGAAGACATGGCAGCAAGAAGGAGAAAGAAGCTGGCAAAGTCAAGGTGGATGGCGCTCCACAGGATGGCAGATCATGGGCAATAGAGAGAAGAAAGACCCTGAATTCACCCCCATTTCCCTGGTGCGTCTCAGAGAAGTCAGCTTTCAGATGGCCAAGCAGGTGAAAGAGACTGAAGCTGTGGAGCTGTTGCTTAACTCGACTGGGTCCCAGCCTGCCAAGGGCATCATTTCTAGCCACCAGCCACCTGATGTCCTCACCCACACACCCAAGGAGGCATGCAGCCCGGTTGCGACACATTTCTGAGGAAGTCCTAGTGTGATATGCGTGGGGGAATGCTGAGCCCTGGGGAAGAGTAGGCGTGATGGGGCCTGATGGACAATGTCATACTCAGGCTTGTGAGAAGACAGGACTTTTGGGCAGAAGCACCTTTGAGAAATTCAGGCTGGATAGAGGCTGTGTTTACATTTCAGGCCACATGGGAGCACCAAGGTGGCCTAGGCATCTTGCCAGGGACACTTCTGAAAGTCAAAAATAAATTTTAGCTTAGTTGCATGCATAGCTTTTACACTGAAGCATAACTGAAGAAACTAAATTTAAATTTAACACAGACTCATCCAAAACCAGGCATGAGGTGTTGCACAGCATGATTTTCCTATTAATTGAATCCCATTCCTTTTAGCCCAAGAGTTGTTTAATTTTAACATTTGTAATAGAAAACATTTCCAACAGGAAGTGTTATCTTCCCCTACTCCACATACATCTAAGGAGTATATCCACAGCGCTGTCCACTGAGACAGGAAACCTGCTTCCTGGAGGCTCATAGCAGCAAGCCCTCCTGAAGTGACCACACCTGTGATGGCACACAGGTGCATGAAGGAGCACCACTGGTGGCCCTGAGGGTTCAAGTGTGCTTATCCACCCAGAGCCCTGGCTTGCTGCTGGTGGTGGTCTGGGTCATTGCCTCACCCGATCCATGCTCATTACTGCCCAGAGCTTCAGTGTCATCCTGATTCACTGGCCTAGAAGTGACTCTAGGAAAAATCTGATAAACAATTTTTCCATTTCCAATCAGTAATGAATATGTGCAAAGTGTTTAGTCATGGGTTAGCATACATCCCATAGCTTGTGAGCATCAGCCAGCCACATTCCTGCACTTCTTGCCCTCTAAACAACACTTGAAACACTATCTCTAGAGGCTTGGAGTTGACCTTGTGTTCATTTCATATTGCAAAACCAAGTTTAAACACGTTTCTTCATCCAGTGATGGATAGCAAGGAGTAAGCCATTAAAAACCACAGTAAACAGAAACTACACACTCATTCTCCCTCTTAAATTCTTTAAGAGAAACAGAATGCTTCCATTACAAAGAAGATATGATAAGAAACAGACTGCCAGTATCATGGTAGCTGATGTTTCACATTATTTTTTTTTCCTTCTCAGGATAAAAACATGGCTCTCCGGCGTACCTGAGAGCTTTTGAGAGCTGTATAATGTAGGAGTCATTCTCGTTTTAGAGCTCCCGCCTTATAGACATTAGCATTTATAGTACAGGACAGGAAGCACACTGTGTCAGTGCTGTGTGAACCAAAATGTCAAGGGTCCAGCCCCTTATTTCTTGTCCCCTAGAAGTTGCAATATTGTTTCATTAAGTACTTGGTAGCATTGTTCTTATTAGATACATATCCAAGTAAATCACAAAGAGCACGGCAAGTGTGGCCCGCTATATCCAACAAAAATTCATAATTACAAATCCACAATCTCTCATTGGCAATTTCTAAATTCGAAAGGCCAGGACAATGGGAGGATGCACTGTGAGTTCTTACACTAGCAAGACACGAGTAAAGCTCTTTCAGGTTTAGTTACTTCACTGACAGTGATTATTTCTATCTTAAGCCATAGCAGTAACTTGGTTGGGGAGGGTGTTATGCAGACATTAACAATGTGCTGATTTTTTTCAACTACTGGTTTTACGGTACATTGATGCAAGACAGTGTCACTCTCAAATCTGAAGTCTGGTTTCAAAAGGCAACTAAGTCTAAAGATCTTTGCAAATAAGATCTGGACTGGAACAAACAGCATTTTCTAATTTGGTTACTTGTACAAAATGTATTTATGTGAAAAAATTAATGCTTGCTGACTCAAGCCTGAAGTATTAGAGCATACATAACACACATGATGACCTTAGATGCAAGAGCTCACACTTCAGTGTCCCAAAAGCTGGCTCGGTCTGAACACTCCACGGAGGCAGCTGCTCCCACACAACAGATAACAGCACTTGCTCTTATCACAATGGCTCACAACATGTGACGCCCTGCAATCTCACCAAAGAGTCTGAGGCCTCTAGTCACTGTTCCTGATAAGAGGCCAGCAAATGGGGTTAAGAAGGTACTCGTATCAGAAATTTTCACCTGTTTCAGTGGTATTAGGCAGACTGAACAATAGTAACATGCATTGCCTAGGAGATCCATAAAGTTACACAACACAAATGCAAATCAAATTTTCACATAGTTCTAATGAGTTTATTCATGCTGAGGGAGAATCTACTAATCTCTAGACATTTTAAAGAGCTATTTGAAGAAAATGAGTATGTCTTCCCTACAAGAGATAGAAACAAAATTAGAGATGGATTATATCTAGCACAGGTAAGAATACTACATGCAGTTATTTCTCATTGTCAGCCATTTCCACTCTACGATGGAGCATCACAAAGCCCCATGAGGTCTCTGCAGTTTACACTCTGCATCTTTTAAATTTTTTATTTTAATTTAAACACATAAGCTCAAAGCTTCAATTGAACAGAAATGTTAAGGACAACTTTCTAAGAAGCACAGTAGGGGAGGCAGAACATCTTGTCCACTGGCCATGAAATCATTTGGTCTGGCCCTGCCAAGGCAACCATAGGTTGTCTTAATAAATCTCCAGCGGGTTACTTTTTAAGTTGGTAATTCTGTATGGTCTGCGGATGATGTCATCAATATCCGCATGATCCATGGCTGACAGAAGGCTCCCCATCCAATTTAGAGGAAAATGCTCTTATATAGTTCAGAGATGTAAAGACTAAGATTTATCTAGAAGTCATGACTTACTCATCCAGTTCAATATACAAAGTTGCTACATATACCCTGTTGTCTGTAAACTCATTACATGTAACTTGAAATAACTGTTTCTATTAGCATTGGTTACTTTTCTCCTAAGTCAGACTGAGGAATCCATGGGCTGTGCTGCACTCCTTCAGGTTCTGGACTGAACACACAACTCCCTCCCACAGAGCCCTTCCCATGCTTTCCACAGGTGAGTGCTCACCTTCCAAAAGGTAACCACTTTTGAAGGCTTTTCCAGTTCCTCTAAATAGAATCACTTGGTTTCCCTCCTTACTCCCATTATACATTATTCCTAGCGACAACCACATTGCAATTCTTTTTATCCTCTGCCCCTTCTCTAGTTCCTACAACTATCCAGAGACAAGATGTTAAGGAAATCTGTGTTTCTGCCCTACACTTTGCAGACTAACATTGTCTTCCACAGTTAATTTTTGAATGAATAAAACGATCAGACTGAAGACTCCATAGTAAGTTCATGTTTGTCTCGACCATGACTATCCAGTGAGGAAGAAAAACAATAGAAAGCATGATACTTTCGTAAGACGGAGACTAAAGCTGGCACTCTTTAAAGCAGAAACAGGATTCATAATCGATGTTACAGAATTACTCCAGCTGTGCTGTGCCTATTATACTGGGATGAGATGCAGTTAAGTGTTAAGAGCTGAATGGAAAGGACACTTGGGTAATTTGCTTTATTTCAGCTTCCTCTCACTGCCATATCATAAAACATCCAAGCAAAGTGATTTGGAGTAAAAGATGTAGGCTTAAAGAACAAGCTATTTTGTGAGAAAAAAACATTGAGTTATTTCAGAAATTACTCTAACCCATTGCTTCTCAAGCTTCCTGCCCACAAGCATGAGCTCACAGCTCCTGTCAAAAATGCAGATGCTGGGTACCACACTGTGGTCTAACAGGTTAAGTGGCTTCCTGTGATGCCAGCATCCCATAGAGGCACCTACTTTTCTACTCCTAATGCAGCTCTCTGCCAATGCACCTGGGAAACCTTCAAAAAACAGCCCAAGTGCTTGGGCCCATACACCTACTTGGGAAACCCAGAGGAAGTTGCTCACTCTTGGCAAAGCAACAGCCATTGCAGCCACTAGTGAAGTGAGCTAACTAGCAGATGGAGATCTCTCTTTTCTGTTCTCCGTAATTCTGCCCTTGGAATAAACAGGTATTTTACAAAGGAAAAAAAAAAAAAAAAACACCAGGTGTCAAGCTTGGTTGGGTCTGGCTAGAGTCATATATCCTTCATCTCTAGCAAGGTCCCAGATGGGCTGCTGTGGCTGTTCTCTAAGCCACACATCAGTAACTTAAAATAAGTGAGACACATTTTCCTCCAAAATCCAGGTAGGACTTCTCCTTGGCTTTAATGATCACATTATTACTTCTTGTTATAAACTGCCTGATAGTGTGAATTATATAAAGTATTACTGAAAAGTCAATTAGAACAAGTTGTAGGTAATTTTTAAAAAGCTTTTATTTCTTCTTACCTATACTCTGGTAATGCCATCGAAAGAAAATTCGTTCAGGTAGAAACTGTAGTATTTTCTAGAAAACAAAAAATAGCAATAAGTCATAAAGATAGACAAGTGAAACAATATCTTCATGATAGGCTCCATATTGCTTTGCTATCTGTAAATTTCATGAAATTCTTTATAATAACGTAAATAATACACTTTAAGCTGTATTCCCAGGTTTTTTTTTTTTCAATCTGCCACAGGTAGATTTTTCCTCCTTGAATGTTTTAAAGAGGTGAGTATCCCAAGTTTAATTTCCTAACAAAGAAAACAAGAGGAATAACTCCAAAATGATCACGTTACCTTAATTAAACAATAGAGGATGACAGTTATAAATGTGCCTATTAGTAGACAAAGAATCACTTTACAACAGGAATACCTGGCTAGTGAGACTAGCTCCCCTCATACCATATCCAAAAACTCATTTTCCTTACTCCAGAACAGATTTTGACAAGTTAATCTTGGTTAATAATAATCTTTCATAGGTGCCAGTTTGTGTCCCAGCTGTTCCACTTCCTGTCCTGCTCCCTGCTTGTTGCCTGGAAAAGTGGTGGAGAATGGCCCAAGGCCTTGGTGCCCTGCATCTGTATGGGAGGCCCAGAAGAAGCTCATGACTTTGGATTGGCTCAGCTCTGGCCATTATGGCTACTTGGGGAGTGAACCAGTGGACGGAGGATCATTCTCTCTGTAGATTTGCCTCTCCAATAAAAATATAAAGAAGCATTTTTAAAAATAGTAACCCTTGTTCTTGCTCTATAACCATCCTTTTAAAAACAAAAAATTCAGAAACTGGTCAAAACATATTTTCTTGATCTTAATGATACTTTACCATGTTATTAGCCTAACAGTCTAACATTAAAAAAAAAAACTAAAATAAAAAATAATATATTTAGGGGTCAGCACTGTGACAGGCTTATACCACCACTTACATTCTGTATCAGAGTGCTGGCTCCAGTCCTGGCTGTGCCACTTCTGATCCCGCTCTCTGCTAGCGTGCCTGGGAAGGCACTGGAACACAGTCCAAGTGCTGGAGTCCCTGCCACCCTCATGGGAGACCCAGATGGAGTTCCTGGCTCCTGCCTTTGGCCTGCCTGAGTCTGGGCTGTGGTGGCTATTTGAGGAGTCATACAGCAGACGGAAGATCTCTCTTGGTCTTTCCATCTCTGTCACTCTGCCTTTTTAAGTAAATAAGTAAATATCTTTAAAAAAAAAATTATATTCAGAGCTCAAATAAGTACATTTCCAGGCAGCTGAAAAACTGTTATTTCCATCTGAGCCAGCTTGGATTTTTGTTTTGCTCTCTAGTCTTAACACACACATGTATTTACTCCAGGTCTCTCATGTACATGTAGGGGCCCAAGAACTTGAACTATACTTTGCTGCTCTCCTAGCAGAGAAAGGGACAGGAAATGGAGCACCTGGAGCGCAACTGAGCCTATCTGGGATGCTGGCACCACAGGTGGAATGTTACCCATTATACCAAAGCACCACTCCCCAAAGTGATGTTTTGATATAGGATAACTCCTGGAATGATTATATCAGGTTAATTAACATATCTATCACTTCACATATCTAGCATGTTTTTGCAGTAGACCATTTAAAATCTAATCCTTTAGTAAAATCTTGAAATTTAAAATACATTACTATCATCTGTGGACACCGCAGCATGGATTTGGCAAACTTCTCTCTAGGTTAACAGACATTGTGAACCTGTTGAACAACATCTTCCCTTCCCCCAGCCTCCACTCCTCTCCAGTCCCCGGGAGCCACCACTCTACTTTCTACTTCTCTAAGCTCTGACTTTGTCAGGTTCCATTGATGCATGACCTCCAGTAATCCTTGCCCTTCTGTGCATGGCTTATCTGAGCAGAATGTCCTCCAGGTTCATCCGGGCTGTCAGAACAACAGCACGCACAGCCTGCTCTTCAGGGCCAAACAGCATTCCACTGTACCTGCTACATTTTCTTTCTCCCTTCATCCATCAATGGCCACTCAGGATGCTTGCTGTAACTCAGCTATCAGGAATATTGCTGCGGTGAACATAAAGGACAGATGACTGCAAATCTGGATTCTGGATTATTTGTGTATTTCCTCTCATAGTGGAATTCCTGGATTTTATAATTCTATGAGCATTTTTAGTTTTCTGAGGAACTTCCACACTATTCTCTGTAATGGCTGTACCAATTCACATTCCCACCGACAGTGCACATGGGTTTCCTTTCTTTCCACGCCCTTGCTAACAATGATTAACATCTTTTTGAGGATAACAATTCTAACAGGCGTAAGGTGCTAATCTCACTGTGACTTTACTTTGCATTTCCCTGAGGATTAGTAATACTGAATATCTTTTCACAACTTGGCTATTTCTATGTCTTCCTTTGAGACATAAGTATCTGCTAAAGATACTTATGTCAACAAACGAGAAATCTTTATGGCCTGGCTGTTACCATACTTATTTAAAGGTCAGAAATTCTTATAGCCATTTAGATGTGCGATTTGTTAGAAAAAATTACAGATGTTAGAGATGTGAGAAAATGCATATCACAAGACAAAATGACTTTAGTAATAATCCAACTTTCCCCAATGATTTATCTATTTACTTAAAAGGCAAAGTTACAGAAAGAGAAGGACACACACATGCACACACATATAAGAGCATGCACACAGATCTTCCATCCACTGGTTCACTCCCCAATTGTTCACAATGGCTAGGGCTGGGCAAGCTAAGCCGGAAGTCAGGAACCCCATTAGGGTCAGGCACATGGGTGGCAGGGGCCCAACTACTTAGGACATCTTCAGTGCTTTCCCAGTCACATTAGAAGGGAGATGAACTGGAAATGGAGCAGACAGGACTTGAATCAGTGCCCGTCTGGGATGTCAGCATCACAGGTGGAAGCTTAGCTTGCTGTACCACAACACTGGCTTCCCAATATTATCTCTTGCCTGGGGGAAATCTTGATCTTTGTCATCCAGATGCCAAAGGCCAGGCATGAGAGCCTCATCTATGAACTGCTCAGAGGCAAACAGCTGTCTGAGGTAGGGGATCAAAATAGGTTTTCATCCTGCAACATGCACTACCATGAATTTTAGGTGAATAACACAAAATAGAGCTAAATGTCAAAATCACGTTATTGTATTTTGTTAATTTCTATTAAGTTAAAAAAGTGAGTAAAGAAATTGAAAAATTTTGCTTTATATAGAATGCCTGGATAAGAACTCACATGAAGACACCATATACTTAAATGTTCCCAAGAGCTGTGGAATAGGACACGTGCTACCCACAGTTTGCCAGGCCAAATGAGCAACTCCAGTCACACATATATACAACTGGCATATATGAATAAAAGTCTTCATATGAGACAGAGATTCTAAATTTTATGACACCATTCAAGATTTATGATTCTCTAACTCTTATTTTCTCTTTACTGAAACAATTACTACAAAACTTTTAATAACAAATTGCTAATAGTCATTGAAAAAGAACATCTCTGGGAAACAGACACTGCAATGTAATTTGGAGTGCAAATGGTTTACTAGTGAGTAACACCTGAGAGGAGGCCATCCTGGGGCCTGGCAGGGGCCAAGACACAATGCAGAGCCCACAAATCTCCAGGAGCCTCGGGGTGCTCTCAGCAAGCTTAGAGTCCTGTGTAACCACTGCAACCTTCAAACTCAGCAGTCAGACTGTGCTCCAGTTGGTTAAAGGGACAAGTGCTACAGATGTACCCATTGGCCTATGGGCTCTCTGCCAGCACAGTGCTTCATCAGCTGGCTGCCAGCTCACAGGGATGGGAGCCTGGCCCCATGGGGCTCTCTGATGCTTTGGCTGCCCCCTCCCCTGCTCCATGCTCTGTGCAGAAGGCACAATCCTGACTCCAGGTTCTACTTTCGAACACTGTCTCCTTCAGGGGATGTGGTTCCACAGAGCATCTTCTGATCCCATCTTGCCCCTGAATGTACAACTTTGGTACAGCAGGTGCTGGGAAAATTAAGGACTCTTAACAGATCTTCTCTTGGACTAGATGAATGCCTGACACCTCCACTGTTCCTCACATTTCTATTTAGGAAACCAACCTGGTTCTGGACTGTGCTTTTTAGTTTTTCAGAATACATATTAGTTCTCTTAGTTTTTTAAATTATCATACAATAACAAAAAAATAAAACACAGAATAAAGCAAGATGGGGTTTCAGTAGACTCTTGGATATGGTCAGTCAAAATAGGTCTCCAACTTCCTCTGAGGTCTCGCCTATCATCTTACCACTTTAGGATAAAAGTTTTCAGATTGACACAAGGAGGTATTCAAAATGAAGATGCTCAAAAATCACCAAGTACTGAATATGAAACATCATGTCCAATTTCTGAGGCACTGAGAATATTCTCAAATGGACAAATCAAACAATTCAAAGGCTAATAAAAGATTACCCTTGCTCATGCTTCTTTTTATACCCACAGATAGCAAGGGGTGCTTTTTACATATTAAAGCCTATGAGGTCAAAATAATACTAATAATAAAGCCCAATACAACCATCCATGTTTGCATACTAAGCCTGTCCCAGACAAAGTCGCAGACAGAGCCCACCTCCACTGAGGCAGACACAAGCTGACATTTCTTCTGCCGCAGCTGATATTCTAAGCTACACTGCTGAGAATGCCACATAAGCTATTGACATCTTGTTTGTAGTTTCACTGGAGAGTAAAATAAAATAAAAAAAAAAATCCAGAAAGCCACACAGTGTGAATAAATATTACTTTTCTGAAAAACACATGGCTCGATTTAATGCTTGGTGCTCAGCTGCATCTATATGGTAATCCATTATAGCACACTCGACATCAAAATTAGGTATTACTACTGATCAGCACATCAGGGAATCTGTCATTCTTTTAACTGATTATCCATACTTTTTTTTTTCTTCAGAACCTACTGCATGACCAGGAATAATGTGAAATAGAAGCTGGAGTTTATACAAGATACTATGGTGTACTTTAAAACTGCTGGTCTTCATTTAATTTGTATGAGAAATCCCTCCCCC